CTTTGTGATATTGTTTTCTTCATGCTTGGCTATTTCTCCAGACAAGGTCAGAATGGAGTATCGGAGTACTGGGAAATATCCCGCTGAAATACTTCACTACGCACCGCTATTTTTCATCGTTCGCTGCGCGAAAAAGGAAAAATAAAAAAGCGATCCACATAGCTGACGTTGATTGCAATAACTACGTCCCATTCGATGGAATACCAGCGCGTTAATCATGCCTAATGGGTTCGAGCTGAGCTCTTAGTTACGAAACAAGCCGTGCCCCTTTTTTTTAGTATGACCTGTCATGACGCGTAATGCATGCATGGTGCCGGGTGCGGCCCCTTTACCTATCAAAAGGATCTTCAAAAGAAACCGGTTTTAATACTTGATCGATTTATGTTAGAGCATTTTATTTTGTTGCCTCTGTCGCGATTACTAGCAGTGACAATTTTTCAAGTTGCCTTTGCAAATTTAAATAAGTTACTGGAAAATATGCGACCATGCCTAGGAGATGTACAGAACTATTTCGGAGAATATTCCAAGCGCTTTTGAGCTCAAATCAATTGGCTTTTCCCGTTCAGTGTGTTTCTGCGCGCAAAATGAAATTAAACAAGTGATATAATTACAAATACAGTATGTTTAAAATATGAAACTACTGTTTTTTAAATGCCCTAACTCGATGCCATACCTTAGGGGCCTAGAATGCCTTGATTACCTAGAAAATGAAATGATTTACTGTTGAATACAAGTAAATATTGGGGGTGTTCGACACATTGGCGTCGTCGTTTCCTCGCTGTAGAACTAAAAATGTTCTCGCTTCACCGAAGCCCGGGTTATTCACGTTTTTCTATCCTAAACTTTTGTCGACGAAAGGAGTAAACAGGAAGTTTTGTCATTTTTGGAGATAATGTAACAGAAATTTATCATCAGCCACCGAAAAAATATCCGGAGATATTCGTTCGTGAACATATTTTTCTATCCTAAACTTTTGTCGACGAAAGGAGTAAACAGGAAGTTTTGTCATTTTTGGAGATAATGTAACAGAAATTTATCGTCAGCCACCGAAAAAATATCCGGAGATATTCGTTCGTGAACATGAGAAAATGCGCCGTAAGGGAAGCGAAAATTCTTCCTCAATTCGATTTTCGTCGGTACATGAATTTCGAATCAGGAAATCTTGATTAAAATTGGCGGCGTCAAATATAAAAAAAAAATCGGACAGCGACAAAATCAACGGATGTTTTGGCTCGCTCTGAATAGCTGGAAAAACTTCCCTTTTTAGATTTATTATTGCACATGAAGAGAGTGTGTCTGAAAAATCGTATGTATGCATGTCCTGGTTGCCTCGTCATCTCATGCATAAACGAATCAACAGAAAACTTGCACTTCCATTTATCACGTCTCTCGCTGTCTACCCGGAAAGGCTGGAAAAATGTGATTTTCGAGTTCTTATGTGCAGCATTTGCAATGCCACGCGTGGTTCTTTAGAGGCGGTGTTGGGTTATTATTTCTCGGTTTGAGATACAATCTAGTACACCATGGAGCTTGACCGAAAAAAAAGTTTTTTTTTGAGGAACATAAGGCTGGTACTGATCAAGTCCTAGTTGAAGAAGGAAGGAAGGGTGTGCGACACAGTCTGGGGGATTTAACGACGACTCGGTTATGAATGGAGCAATGAGCTGGTTTCGAGGGCGACGTCGTTCTCCACGGATTGTCTTCTCGTTCGTTTTCCTCTTACTGTCTCCTGTTTCTTTTTTTTAATGTTCATTTTTTATAGATTTTAAAAATAATATCTGCACTCCCAATCTAACCGCTTCAGACGTTTTACGTTGTGCCTCGGCTCCGACGTCCGGTTTATTTCGTCGGGGCGACGACCTGCCTTAAAACGGTGCGTGGAACCGTGGAGAGAATATGGTGTGTGTGTGTGGACAGTTGAGCGCATTTCAAAAAAGCTTGTGTAAAAGATCGAAGAAACAATGCGTGCAATTGATCAACACACTTGAAAAGATGACTTGCCTTTCTTCGCAACTTTTCGAATCTCGCACAAATTAGTACCATGTCAGTTGAATGCGTTGCGAAACGGCGCATGCGCGTCCGTCGTGAAAATATAAATCAGTAGAGATCAATTGCATTATTACTGTAATTTCATGGGTATTGGAGAGAAACTTCGAAAAAAAAACCATTAAAATTAGCTTGAAAATGATTCGCTTTGGTCCTTCCAGTGTGCCTTTAGGATTGTATTGGTTAGTGTCACTTATCAAAGGACCGAGCCTACTTGTCGTCATAAAACCTGCAAACGACAAGTCACGAACTACAGAACCTTTTACAAAAGGAGACGATAGGTGAAAAATAATATTTTTGGAATTTACTGCTTACTGTTGTCAGGTCACGACGATAATGTCCTTGTCTTCTATCTTCACCGATCTTCGATTTTCTAGCGCGAGACTTGCACGATTTTATCTCGTACTCTGTTGAACGTCGAATGAGTTTACTGATGGAAACTTTGTAAAGGATTGGTGAACTCTGATCGATTTCCTTTGGAGATATCGCCCAGATGTTCTCATTTCTTGAGCAAACCGCGGATCATCCCTTGATCTTTCCGAAAAGCCGAGATTGTGTTTTTGGAGTGTTCAAGTGACAAAATCGTCGTGTTGGTGGATTAGATCAGACTTGGTAAAGCAACTTTAATCTTATCTCTTCTGAAGAAGACTCGCCTGATGCAAGGGGGTCTGTTATTCCTGCTGCTCTTCACCGACGAACAGAATGAGTTGCCAAATGAATCCGAAAGGCATGTATTGTCTTGAACGAGAGGAATTAAGGGTCCTTGAAAACATGCGAGAGGAGGCAAGAGAAAGACACATTAGGAAAGAAATTGAGTTACTTGTCTACCCTTCTTTTGCCACGCAAAAAAAGCCGAACCGACAAGAGATAACGTATTTTCACAGGCACAAGCAGAGGGGTTGAGGTTTAAAATTTGTCACATTTGCCTAGACTTAGCCTATCCAAACGAGCTTTGGTTACATCATAGGCATAGAGATTAAATATAAATATTTACGAACTTGGAAAGGACCGTTCCGAAGAGCCTTTCTTTGCAATATTTGATCAGTCTTTTTCTGTGAAATGGTATATTTGTCTGCATTATAATTTCATCTGCAGCATTCGTGGCATTAGAAGGAAATCTGCAGTCTAATTTGTTTTGAAGAGTTGAAATCGAGGCTGTTTTCCGCATCTTTTGTTCGCCAGCTGATTTTAGCTAATTTTTGGAAGAGATTAGGGATTTGTATAAAGTACTGCACTGTATCTTGTTTCAGAAAATCGAATGCATGATTGAAGAGCGACAAATACTGTATAGTAGTCGACCGAGGTGCAGCATTTTTTCGCTCAGTCTAAAGATGAACAGTTCGTCTCTTTTTTTTTTGCGTCCTTACTGCGTCTTCTTTGAGTGGTAGCTAGAAATGATATTCCAAAAATTGAGACTAAGAAACATTTTTCTTCGAGCGCTGAACGGTTTTTACATGAAGGATGACTAGAAAATATGATGCATCAAAGCGCTGCAGAATTCGCGACGAGCCGGAACGAGTTTTCGTTTTCCGTTGCAGAAGGAAATCATTGTTGATTTATGGAATTGTTGGAGAGAAGTGGAACTCTGGCCCCATAGTTCAGTCTGCTGAAACATTTAAAGCTCTCATCAACAAAGGATTGCTGACGGCTAAGACTGACAAGCATTCAATCATTTTGTTACCATTTCACCCGAAAGACATTTCCACGCCGCTCGAATAGGCGCCTCGCTTTTGTGTGGGTAATAAAGAAAGTCGTTGTTGTGTTAATTTGAGTCGAAGCGACTGTGGACTCTTTAACGCCATACAACCACCTAAAGGTAAATCACGTAAATTTGCTGGCAACTTTAGGTAATCAGCTTGACCTCTTACTAACTTTAAGGAGCAGCAAATAAGTCCGCTTATTTAGCACCTTATTTTTATGGTTTTATAAGCGGTTCGGTCGTTTGCGATTATAAGAAGAGCCCGATCGATTCAGATGATCGGATTTAGAAAATGAGAAGCGTTATCTCAATACTGTATGATGTAAATTATCGAGGTTTCAAGCCGAAAGCTTCGAAGAGTATTCTTTATTTTATGAACAGAATTGTATGTAAATTATCTGCAATCGAAGAGTCGGAATTCAGCCGATTTTCAATTGCCAAGTTTTTTTTTTTAGTTTGATGTGGAGCATCGGTTTCCTATTTATTGCTCCGTTTGTGCATGAATCAGTCGACGTTTAATTTTCATTTATGGAGAATTATTCAATGCGCGCTTGAAAACTGAAATACAGTAATTCAATCGGTTCTACTCTTTTCTAAGTAACCATTCTGAATTTTGGGTTTTTTCATTCGTTCTTCGTCAGAACTAATCTTTGGTGAAGCTAATGTTCATCTGACGGATGCGAGCACGAAAAAATTGGCCATTTCAAATTCAGTATTTTCAAAGGGACTCGTGTGAAATTGTTTATGCCTTTGGAATGCTTATTAAAATGTTGAAAGCTTGATTTTTTCTTGCCATTTCTAAAATCTCGTTTTAAATGGTGTTTCTGGATTGAATATGATTTTTAATTTCAACGAGGGAAAATTTCAAGCGGAAGCATGCCATTGCATTTTTTTAATGTAGGTATTCGCAAATGAATAATGCCGAAAACCAGCTTAAATATGGATAATTTCGGGATTTCCGTTTGAATTTTCTATTTGTTTCTAAAAATAACCGTAATCTTCAGAATTCGAAGATTTTAATTCTTTCTGACTCATCTTTCTGAAAGCTCGTACTGTGATCCATGTTGAACCCGCGCATCTGAAGATACTGTAAGTTCGTGCGTTTATCTAGCAGGGCATATTTCTGTATTAATCGCATCGAATTGTTTTTCTTCTACTGTACTGTGAAACCCGCTGCACAGAAGCTTCGCAATTTGTCCGAATCAAACTCTTATTTTTCGGCAAGTATTGACAATTCTTGAACAATTTTCAATCCGCCCCCAGCGTGTTATCTTCTTGCGACCAACTGCGTCATTGGATCGGGTTTCTTTGCCTCGTCCGCAGTACTGGACAACAATACAGTCGTGATCTGGGGCACGCGATAATTCTCCAGCTCGTTCCTGCACTTGGTCGGCAGCGAAAAGGTCAAGGCCGGTAAACGTTTTCTCTCACCCACCCACGGAAAACGTTGCCGCTGTAGCAAACACATCAAATCCTATCCATCAGCCGATTCCTTGGTGGCGGGGCTGCCTAAAAAGGATATTAATGAGATCCACGACTCGTTCACGGTCAACCTGTGTGTCAGTTGCACCTGTACAGAGTGGTTAGGCAAATTTTTGGAGCGATATTTTTTGATAACTGCGAAAGCTAGAACCTGAAAAGCTCAATTTTTAAGAAGAGGAGGCCTAAATTTCCATCTAAATAGATTGGTTGTCGCGTTGTGGATCCAGGGAAAGTTACAACCAGCTTTCAACTAATGTTCCGAAAATTGATGCCTGCTGAACGTCCCTCACTCCATGCTCGATTAGATTAAAGAATTGAAAGTTTAAAGCCAGTCAGATTATCTCCGAATTGATCCAGAGAAGTCTGCCTCTCTCCTTTTGCGACATAATCTATTCGAAATTCAATTTAAGCGACGGACAAACCACCAGTATTTCAGGGTAGATTTCCATTGACCACAAGAGCCGAACGAAGTATGAATTTGAAAGTGAAAAGCATTCACAATTCGAAAGGCTGTTTCTTCGAGCTTTCATTGGACCTCAAAGCATTCATATTAAAAATATTAGTTAGAATGCAATGTTTTCGTCTTCTGGAAACTTTTTCCTGAGTTAACGTTTTTAAACAACCGTAGTACAACCGTAGTATTTCGATAGAGAAAATAATTTAGCAATGCGTGATTCTAAGTTAATTGAATAGTATTGAACTGAATTTGGATATGAAAATGTGTCGAATTGTCGATATGCCCTCGATAGTATATTTGTGCGTAGCATTTCCCCGTTTCGATCGGTGGCGAGCCAATTTGCGTGCGAAAGATAATGAGAAGAAAAATCAAACTACTCATTCCCCAGTGTGACGTTTCATATTTTGTGAGCGGAGTATCTTCGGTTTTTTTTGTTTGTTTCAGATTTCAGAAAATTGTTCAATTCTCACGCAAAAAAAAAAAAAACATGGGAAAATTTATTTGCGTTCAACGACGCAAAACCATGATGCGACGTATCGACGGAAATCATGTAATAATTATGAATTGAAAGAATAGCATGTACAATTAAATTTTCAAACGATTGGTGCTACGTTTCTGCTTGAGTGCCCAGAAAAAAGGCCCATTGCTAACGAAAATTAAAGGAACCGGGACGAATTCGAAAATTAATCTGGATTTTTTAAGCATCTGCCCTGCATTAAAAATTATTTGGAAGTAGGTTTCACATCCCTAACAAGGTTTTTTTTAACTTGTGAAAGAGACAATTATTCAACTGACGCGTTCATTCGAAGCTCGGTACAAAACGTTCGATCATCATTTCCGACGAAAGTGTCGGAAACAATCAGTTGCTTAGAAATGTTTCGCGGTGAGAAAGAACATTTTTGAAAATTTCTTCGAAAAGTCTTTCTAGTTTCCAAACGTGTTCCTTCGAGCACTTGATGTAGGTGGTAATCGTAAAATCCCGTGTGGTGGCATTTCAGTTCGGGAGGAAAGGGGATTCATTTCGACCACGTGTTAAACACCGGTTGCGCGCGGGGAAAGCTGTTACATGTTGTGACTAACCCTGCAACGAGGTTGCAGTTGTTCTCGTGTTTTTCTTCTTCTTGTTTTCAAACTTGCCACGGGTAATGACACGTTTGTATGTTGCATTTGTCATTGACAGGGTTTTGTACTGGTGGCGATGCAAGAACCCGGAGCGTTTCCTGAAGGGCACGAAATGGAACGTGCAACAAGCGCTGGGCTCCAAAGTTCCCAACAGCATCCTCAACTTCATGTTCAAACTCCGATTCCGCCGGGTGAGTGAGACACTTTGTTTTTCTTCTTCTTCGTCTCCTCCTCCTCCTTTCTTGATGATATTTTTCCCAGTGGCGTGAAATATTTCCCCTTCGTCATGCAGACAAGCACGACGGGAATGTTGCTTTGCTCGGCATGTACTGCAGCTTCCCCGGATTTTTTCTTTCATTTTGAGTTCTCGGCTTATTCGCGAAGTGTACGCATACAATGCGAGGGATGGTTCAAAAGGTTTTTTCGAGTGTGGTGACTTGAAATTAAGATCTTCATTTTTTTTTTGCACCAGAGTAAGTGAGTCAGAAATCTCCAAACCACCCGAACAATTTGAAAGATTATCTTGAAGCCTTCATTGTCTCATTTTCCAAGTACAGTATCGTATCATCTGTTGCAGACCCGTCTTGGGGCAATTTTTTTTTCGATGGTTTCAGGATAATTCAGGTAATTCACATGGTTTCAGGGTTTAGTGAACATATCCAGATACTTGAGGCACTAATCACTAGTACGAGAGCTACCGAGATCTTGGCACTTTCTGACATCGCAACGTACTTTTCATGACAAGGGTTTAATCAAGAAATATTTTACCCGCCTGGCTGAAATACCCCACTTGGTATCACGTGGACCTCCTAGAAATTCACGAACCTAGCACGTAAGGGCCGTGATTGTCTATGAAAAGATTTGCACTTCAAATGCATTCTTCTCTCAAATCGAAGCTAGGCGATGAAATCTTGGTCAGGAAATGACGATGAACATTATAATTCATTTTAGCAAGTTATCCAATCGAGCATGTCATCATTTTGATAAGTTCAAAGAGAAAAGAAGCAGTCTGTTCTATCTTAATTTTAAATTGTGATAAATGTCCCCCCGCTGATCGATTACCGTAACTACTGTATATTCCGGCTGATATACAATGCGTAGAGAATGTGAGGAATGTTGATATTTTTACAGTTGACGAGTGCAGATTTGATTTAATGCGTGAAATTTTATTGCAAAGGCAATGGCACCCGTTCATTTTCCCGGATGATTCGAGTTCTGCTGTAATGACTCCGTACAAATCACGTTAAACTCTATCCATGCAAAATGTACACTGTGCTATGCGTAGCTCAGCACTGAGAGACCTTATGAACCAACCCTCGTACAAGCCCCACACTCTTCGTCGCCGTTTCACGCCGTCGGGCGTGTCGACGTTGCAGAAAAAGGGAACTATTTTTAGGCCAGCGCGGATGAGGTGGGAGGGGGAAAGAAAGCCGAGCGATTTTCCGAGTCTTCCCACTTTTTGCGTGCTTGTTTCATGACAAAAAAAGCGCGGTTTTTTCTCTTACCTTTCTTGGTATCTTGTACTCTGATCCATATACACACACACACACTCATACGGAGTGAGGGGGATAGAGAAGCGGAACAGATGTTTATTTCTGCCGTCAGGATTTCCTTTCGTTGGTGGCGAGGATTGCGAGGGAAATCTTTTTTTTTGCGGTGTGGCTCGGCTCCTTGAATTTTATGATGTGGCTCCACGCGTGTGCGGGAGCTGACGGGCGACGAGGTCGTTTCGGAACTCGAGGCAGAGAGAAGACAATGTGGTTACATTTGTCGATGTCACACGAAGGAGTGACTACCGTGACGCAATTTTGAATACTTTTTAGTCGAACCTCTTCAAGTCGAATTTCAAGGGACCAGCGAAAGAAAAAATCGAGTTAGGGAAANATGTGGTTACATTTGTCGATGTCACACGAAGGAGTGACTACCGTGACGCAATTTTGAATACTTTTTAGTCGAACCTCTTCAAGTCGAATTTCAAGGGACCAGCGAAAGAAAAAATCGAGTTAGGGAAGCAAACATTTTTGAGTGGGAAAAAAAGAATTACAGGAAATTGTAGTTGGCAATATTCCGGGCCTTAAAATGCTTCTTGAATGAGTTGACGGTATGTTGAACTTGAAGGCAAGGGTTAATTTGCCCGATCAGTCTTTCACTTCCTTTCAAAACGCAGCAGTTTACAGTACGTGAAATTGTTTATTGCTTTTCTTTTTTATCAATAAATTCGTTAGCCAAATGGCCCTCAAGAAGGGAAATCCTTAGAGTTTCGAAGGTTTTTAATGCATTGTTTCTAAGGGGATTCATACAGGGACTTGAAAAATCGTCGTAGGGATGCTTTAGTTATCGAGGTTCAACTCAATTCCTTTTTTTTTCAGATGGTTGAAAGTGTTGAATACTTCATGGAAGAATGACAGGAAGCACATTGATTCGAATAGCCCGTAAGCGGACGAGTAAGATCTGGTTTCAATAGATCAGCATTCAATCGCATTTGTTATGCTTTTGCACACTAGTAAAAATAACATTGCATATTTCACGCGCTTATAGGCATCACCGGGTTTCATGCAGCAATTTTAGAAAGGGGATCTATGTAGAGCTGAAAAAATGTGGGTCTTTTCAAGAAGAAATGTGACCGATGCACGGAATGAACCTTCAAATTTTCCAATTTAGAATTCTTTGAGAAAAATGGTTACGGCAAATTTTTTCAATAGCATATACTCACCTTCGAAAATTGTTTGGCACTTTCACTGCTACGAATATGCGGTTTATTCTCTCGTGATTAAAATAACTGAGGGGTACATTTTTTTTGAAGACCGACCAATGCTCGGAAAAATATTCATCCTAAACAATCATGGCATTAAAGATTTTACTGCTGACTTCAAGTTGTTCATTTTGTCTGCACTATTCAAAGCTTTGAATTTCTTTTACGTAAAAAAAAAAATCGCATTTATGTTGAGAGATTTACGATGGAGCATGTAAAATATCAGTTTTCGAACAAATTTTCGAAGCGAGCTGAACGTTTCTTCAATTAATTTTGGATTATTTTAAAAAGACACCGCTAGCATCAGTTTATAAAATTCTTAAAAGTAAGGAGTGTTCATCTCATAACGTTGCGTGGGTTTGTGGTGTTGCGTGACGACACGAGTCCGCAACTGAGGCGGCGAAGGCGAAACGCAGTGAAGAATTGATGGGGATAAATATGGTTGCAGGGGTTTCTTAACTTTGAATATTCCTGACTTGCGTTTCAAGCCTGAGCTTTTTTAAAATTAATTAAATCTGAAAGAACAGTCTTCGAGCTGATCTTGTTCATTCTGTCTGGGAAGTGAATTCTGGGTGTTACACATCTCCATGAGCGTCGACACCCCAGATGTTAACGCGAGGCTTACATTGGTCTCGCCGATTTCATGTTTCGAATCGTGGGCTGAAACGCAGAACTAATCCAGCCTCTCTTAACCCGAACAGCCGAAGCGAGGATTATCATCACAAAATCTTCCAATCCGTCATCGTGAGATTGGATTATTCAGGGATTTTTTGGAGTATTTTTTCCCCCACGAGGGATGATTCAAAAGTCAAGGTAGTCCCTTCAGATGAAGTGACGTAAGTTTCTAAGATTCTGTCAAAATCTAATTAGCCTATGTGAAATTGAAATCTCGATGCGAACTTCTGTTTAGTTCCAGTTTTTGAGTTTTTTCTTTCATTTTATTCCTCGATTGTTAGAATTTTTCCTCGCGGCTCAATTGCAGTTTCTGCATCATTTTTTTCTCTGGTTGAGCAGAAAGTTGAATAATTTTCTGACAATGATGGACTATCATTTCATGAAAATGGCGTCTATTTTCCGCACATGTAGCAAAATAAATACCAGAATTTTGGAGCCGGTCCTGGCATCTCTTTCATTTGAAAAAAATTCCGTGAAGATCGTTTGAGGGTAAGTGGAGTATGCTTACGGATGCAATACAGGATACATGAATGGAGGTGATTACGTGTATTGAGGCTCTTTTTTTGTCGGCATGCTGCACTAATCAGAGCTATTCGAAGTCGTCTGGCTTTGCAATCCGCCTTTTGAAGTTGCTTTAGTCAAGGTTGCCACATCAACAGATTTGTATTGCCTGCCCCGTCGAATAAAGTAGCGAGGAATCAAGTTATCTCGCAGACGCTTTTTTTTCAGTAACCGGATAGAATGCCGATGAATTACTTCTCATTCACGATTTTGTTCACGAAGTAGCCAGAAGCATTATTCCTGAAGTCGATTACGAAAACGGGATTACCGAAATTTTGGAAAAAAAAAATTGGTAGAATGGTCGAAAATATATTGCTCAAGAAATTCAGTGCGCAAAAATGAAAAATCAGGGTGTTCAGAGGGAGATGTAGGAAAGGAGCGGATAGGAGTTTAAATTGGAGGTCGAGGGGGCGACAAGATTTTGAAGCTGCAGATTCAGTGAGGAAGAAGATGTTTTGCTTTGCAAATGACGAACCGTTTTTCTTGCATTCGCGAAGCATATTTTATTAGAAAGCTGTGTTTTTCTTCTTCTGCGGAACTCGTCAGCTGGCGAGAAGCTGGACAATTGATGCGTGTAGTTGTTGCTTACGAAAGGAGGCCAGTTTCTGGGAAGCATGTAGAATTTTTCGTGTTGAGGAGGAGCTCGGAATGTTGATCAAACCTTGGGGGGGAAGAATGATGATGAATCACCAGCTAGTTTTATCTGGCGGTTGTATCATTTCTAAAAATAAGAAGAAAAACGCGAGGAAGAGAGTGTAGGAATTCGGGTAGCTCGAGGTACAGTTATAGTAATGAAGCATATTTTTTCCTTTCTTATTCCTATGGGTCGGTAATGACGAAAGTGAGAGACTCAAACACGAGGCATGAACTTTTTTTCTCGCGTCGGGGTCGTACACAAGTTCCGCCTCGTTCGCAGCGCATATTAATTATGCCTCGTGTTTCTATTCGGTTTGTTATGCGCCGAGACTTGGAAAATTTTTGTTTCAACTGATCTTTTCTGGATTATGAAATTTTGCTGTTTCCGCTGTGGTGGTTTGGCACAGAACCCACACACGTTCCATGCGGTGGATTTAGCGCGTGATGGTGATTCCGCTCCAGAGCCGGAATTGTAATGTCTAAACGGTTCTGTAGGTTATGGGAACCGATTTAATGGAATGCTCGGCTATTATTTCTTACGATTTCTTAGTTCTAGAATTGTTCGAGATTTTTTGCTGCCAAAATTGGTGTTGATCGAAAGTGTGCTGGTAATGCTGAAGAGTATTTTCTCCAAAGCGTGTTTTATCAACTGGAATGCGAATGGTTAATCTTAATCAATTTTCACGCATTACGCATCCATCACTATAAGATGGCCAGGGATTATTTCTGAACTCCGAACGGATTTTTACAAATATGCGGAAATGCATGATCAGTGGGTGACGAGAGAACAGTGGCCGCGTTGAGTAATTTTTTCTTAGTGCGAATCAAGGAATGAACGAATTAGGAGGAAGCCGTGTTTGGTCGTTGTACGAAAACAAATTGTCAATAAAATGTCCTAAATTTGAGTTTCAATGACGGGGGAATTATCAGGGTTTTCTCTCCTTTTTCAGCTTTTCGTAAAATAGTGTTACAGTATTTCATGTGGTACTGAATATTATACTTGCGGAAATATTTTTCACTACAGGTTGAATATCTTTAAATAAATAATCAATTGTACAGATACCGTAGTAGATGAACTACAGTATATTTTGTATCAGTTCAAGGTGGCCAGGCACTTGAAGAAATTGTAAATTAAGCATTTCTTCGCAGATGGAGTTGGGAATTACAATGCTAAATTGTATTACTTGATCCTTCCGGCGAGATGGACCATCATGTGTTCGTGGGAGAGAGTGTAGGAATTCGGGTAGCTCGAGGTACAGTTATAGTAATGAAGCATATTTTTTCCTTTCTTATTCCTATGGGTCGGTAATGACGAAAGTGAGAGACTCAAACACGAGGCATGAACTTTTTTTTCTCGCGCCGGGGTCGTACACAAGTTCCGCCTCGTTCGCAGCGCATATTAATTATGCCTCGTGTTTCTATTCGGTTTGTTATGCGCCGAGACTTGGAAAATTTTGTTTCAACTGATCTTTTCTGGATTATGAAATTCGCTGTTTCCGCTGCGGTGGTTTGGCACAGAACCCACACACGTACCATGCGGTGGATTTAGCGCGTGATGGTGATTCCGCTCCAGAGCCGGAATTGTAATGTCTAAACGGTTCTGTAGGTTATGGGAACCGATTTAATGGAATGCTCTGCTATTATTTCTTACGATTTCTTGGTTCTAGGATTGTTCGAGATTTTTTTTTGCTGCCAAAATTTCTGTTGATCGAAAATGTGCTGGTAATGCTGGAGAGTATTTTCTCCAAAGCGTGTTTTATCAACTGGAATGCGAATGGTTAATCTTAATCAATTTTCACGCATTACGCATCCATCACTATAAGATGGCCAGGGATTATTTCTGAACTCCGAACGGATTTTTACAAATATGCGGAAATGCATGATCAGTGGGTGACGAGATAACAGTGGCCGCGTTGAGTAATTTTTCCTTAGTGCGAATCAAGGAATGAACGAATTAGGAGGAAGCCGTGTTTAGTCCTTGAACGAAAACAAATAATGTCAATAAAATGTCCTAAATTTGAGTTTTAATGACAGGGGAATTATCTGGGTTTTCTCTCCTTTTTCAGTTTTTCGTAAAATAGTGTTACAGTATTTCACGTGGTACTGAATATTATACTTGCGGAAATATTTTTCACTACAGGTTGAATATCTTTAAATAAATAATCAATTGTACAGATACCGTAGTAGATGAACTACAGTATATTTTGTATCAGTTCAAGGTGGCCAGGCACTTGAAGAAATTGTAAATTAAGCATTTCTTCGCAGATGGAGTTGGGAATTACAATGCTAAATTGTATTACTTGATCCTTCCGGCGAGATGGACCATCATGTGTTCGTGGGGTATTTATATTTTCAGCCAACAATTTCTAAAACTTCGAAATCTTGGGAATTACATGAAGTGACGTAATGAAGCGTTATTGTATTTTTATTTTATTTTATTTTTTAACATAAAGAAAAAACCGAGTTTTCCTCTATTCTCGAAAGAACGCGGATATTTGGCTTTGATGAAGTTACCTCCCAACGTTTTCGATCCCATTCTCTGGAGAAGGAAGTTTTGCTACTCCATCGCGTAACACTACTCGTACGTGTCGCATCGACATCAGAAGAAATCCTTAGGTTCTGGTGATGAGATGCGCGTGATGCGACTTTGTCACAGATGAGCCAAGTCCGATCCCCTCCAGCCATTATGAGAACTGGAAGAAACAAAAGAAGAGGAAAAAAATAGCCTCGTGGAACGTTTCCTCTCCAGCGTTTCTCACCGTAATCACAACAGTAACTGTATCAGCGTTTGCGGGTCCGCAATTGAATAATCACGCCGGTTTGTTTCTGTTCCCTGCGATTTGTTTTCCCTCTTGCTCTCGGAAGCCGAGAGCTTGTTTTTTTTTTTCTTTTCATTCCTGCTTCTTTTTTAATAATTATTATTCTTCCGACTCCCGCGTACGATTCTCATCACGGTGATAACCTCTGGGAGCCGTGGCGGCATTTGTTGTGATGGCTGCGGGTGCTTTGGGAGGAGGGGGAGGGAAGAGGAAGGAAGGAAGGAAGAAAATGCGCCACTCGTGTTAATTCCGTTCACGTTCCGCGGAATACGCGAAAGAATCCCGGGCCGTGTTGCCGAGTTATCTGGAGCAATGATCGTCCCCCCGATGGTTGTGGATGAGAGAGAGAGCGAGAGGGGGGAATTCGGCGAAGTCTCGTCTGTTCTGCAGGATTTGGGAATGTTATCGTGAGAGATGAAGTATAGTGGTGAATCTTTATATTTTTTTCACCATCAGATTTTATTGTTGTTGTGCTTGACTTTGGGGGGGGGGTATTTTTTGGGTGCCGAATATCTCACGCTTGCGATTTTCAAGTTGTTTCGGCGTCCATTTTAGCGTCAACGAGCAAAAATGTACTCCTGGTGCGGGCTGTAAAACAAATGGAAAAACTTGGCTTGTGTTCGAAGTACTGTATCTGTAGTAAAGTACATGGCCCTTTTTTTTAGAAGATCCAGCTTTAATATGAAGTACTGTACAGTATCTAGGATATGCCGCACTTATTAGATGGGGCGGTCTATAGTCTGGATCTATAATGTTAATCTTCGGTTCCCTTTGCGCGCTAATTTATTGAAAATATGGAGAGCAGAGTGCATAATTTTTGATACGTCTTCGTGTTTTTATCGGACTTTTTAAAAGCTCAGCCTTGTTTTTTTTTTTTTTTTTTTGCGCTGGTATTTCTAAATTTATGCGAATGCCAAATTTTAGCGTGAACGAACCCGATTGTAGGTAGCGAAACGATATGAAGATCTCTGACTATATTCCGAGTATTTGAGGATAGTGTATATGCGATCTAGGCTTAAAATGTGCACTCTTGTTTTCACTTCTCCAAAATGAAAATTGCAATTAATGTCCGATTTGCACTGAATTAAAATATGCTTCAAAATTTTCCTTTTTTTAGACTGCGTACTTATGCGGACTGATCACTTTTTTTGTGGATTTTCGATGCTGCCGGACATCGTGGTTTTGCTCTATCGTATTAGGTTTAATTGTTTCATCATATTACCGTAGATTACGTACATGGTTGACGAAATTTTCATTGTAATCATGGCCAAATTTGAGTCAAATCGCTTGGTTTCACTCGTTCGCGGAAATATGGTAATAAAACTGTAATCCCATTTTTGAAACGTTCGGATGATCGTAATTTGCGAATTCTCTGGAATCCTCGTTCAGTGGTGATGACTAAGTATTTTTATTCAGCCGTTTCCATAGCCATTTATTCTTCACTCGTATTAACGGATGGGAAGCGCAATTCGGGTTGATGTGTCGAATATGGAATTAAAATGGTCATTTCAATTTTTAGCGAATTTCGTTCAAAAATTTTCCGTGGAAAAACTGATCAGTGGAGATGCAATTCGCGTTGGCTGTACAGAAGTTCACCGACCCCTCATGATTTTGCTGATGAATTGCTCCACACTTGACGAGAACGACTCACTTTCGATGCGGGAAATCGGTTTATAATCGTATTTTCAAAATCGAATTCTCCGTCCGAAAAAAAAAAAAAAACGGCTTGGGATCCCCAAAAAGAAAGAAAAACCTCCGATACTCAGGTCACGTCTACGGGAAAGATGAAGTTGCCGCAGATGTCCGGATCTGATGGGTGTTTTTTTTTTTTCCTCTCGGCGTGTCTCATCGGGATCACATTTTGACCGGGTTTATATCCGTGACATTGCGTCTCCCCTCTGTGATGGAACGCTTGTCACATGGGCGACGGGCTGTGGATAGATGACTTGACATTCGTGTAGATGAAACTCGTCGAGTTCGATGTTCGATCTGTTCCGAGATGCGGACGAAGGATCAACTTTTTCCGAGGAAAGGGAAAAAATTCAATGAGAAAAACTTCGTAAATATATACAGTCGAACTTCAAGGGACCAGAAAACAAATTCGAGATGAGGAAACGAGCATGTGTGTTTGAGGGGGAAGAATTACAGGACAGTTTAATTGCTGATATTCTGGGCCTTTAAATGTTTTCTTGAAAGATTTGACAGGAAGCTGCACTCTGATGCAAGGGTTTATTTACCCACTAAGTCTCTCACTTTCTTCCGAAGCACACAGCAATTTACGATTTTATTGATTTTATCGTTTCCTGTATCAATAAAACCCCCGAATAGTCATATGGCATCCGTAAAATTTGAGTTATGGTATTGAGGTTGGAGGAAGAAAGCCTTCAAGTTCGGGAGGTTGTTTGATATATGGTTTCTAACGGAATTCAGATGTGGACTTGAAAAAAAAATTGAATTGGGGATGTTATGTTAAGGTGCAACCTATACACGCATTATCATTTTTGAATAGGCTAAAACTTGACACGGATGCTCGTTTTGTAGTTCATGGTGGCAACTAGGAACAACTGAAAGACTTGAAGAGAATTTGAAGTACAGTACACTGAGTACAGTACTGTTGATGCATAAAGACAAATGTTGAATGTCTTTACACGCGTTAATTGCCGCAGTTTTCGCTGACGTTGCATCAGAAAATGTCAACCAGGCCGCACCCGAATTTCCGATTTTTTTTCTTTTCGTAGAGTTGAAAAATGGTCTAAAGTTGCATTGATTCAAATCAACACATTTAAATGATCTTCCATAGTTCTTCCATAAAATTTGATTTGATGCTCAATTGGTCTGAACTTCATCGAGAATATTGGATGAACTTAGCTCGAGGGTGTCTGACTGCAGAAAAAGAGCGATGAACGAAGATAGGTTTTTTTTTTTTTTTACAATGTATAGGGTGTTTTAACTTGTTCGTTGCGATTTTGTTGAATTTAACAGGTTTCAACATGTCTATGAGATGTATTCATATCTTAAATCATGTACCGTGTGTGGTGATAATTTACAATATTCTATATTTTGTGTGAAATCATGACAGAAGTGACCTTGACCGAGGTTTGCGAGAGAGAGGAAAAAAACGAATCGATTTGTGCGGGCGAAATAACTTGGGATTGTAGAACCGTGCGAATCATTTCAACGCCTTGTTTCATAAATCACTTCTCAAACGACGTCTGCTTGATAGCCTCGAGTCTCCGGCTGTGTTTCGGAAGGAAAGATGTTCATTTGTAAAGAGGGCGAAAGAAATGTCTTTCCCGCCCCTGCAATAATTTCTGGAATGTGTTATCTGCTTTCTCGAGCTGCGAACGAATGTGAAATGCATTCTGGAAATCCTTCGTCTCCTTTGTTTCCAACGAATGATTTCAGGTCGCTGACACATTTTCCCCGGTCACGCGAATATGATCTGTACTCCTCTCCCTTCGAAAGAAAACCGCAACAAAATCTCTGAGATTTATGCTAGACATACGGCATTTAGAAACAGAAAACCACTGCGAACCTAAATTGCGGCTATATTCAGGATAATGTGGGCTGAAAGCGACGAAAGCCGAGGAAAATTAGGCGAACGAAAATTAGTTCATGATGGAAGTGTCGAGATTTCATTTTCCGCTGTGGATTTCGTGGTGTTATTTCTGAGATTATTTCATAAATTTCGGATCAAGACTGCTCATGGTAATTTCAACTAGATTTGGACGTATATCGCATTTAGCGGACAAATTATGCATCCATTGTATGCAGGATTAGCTAAGGGTAAGTCAAAAGTTGTACTCTTGTTCTGTTTCTAATCTCCTGAATAAGAGGGCGTTTTACAACCCGAGGAAATTAGCATTAGCATGCATTTGAATCACGCTGCTGTTGAATCTTTCGAAGTTCCATATTTTTCGTGAGAGGCCTTTTTTTTTCTTCGGCTGTTTTTTGGAGCTTGGCGTAAAAGTCGTGGGATTATGGAGCAGAGGCGTTGTGGCGGTTTGAAAAATTGTGCCCTCGGATTATTTTCCTGCCGATGGCGCTTGGGATATAAATTTTTTTCCCTCTTCCCCTGAATACCTTCTTCGTGCTATTTCTCGCATTCGAACAAACATGGGGTTGAGTGAAAAATCTCATCCTGAAAAAAATATAATAATGAGGCATAAAAATGAAGCGGTTTGTTTTCATGCGCGGAATACCGAGGAGCCTAAAAGCCGTCTGAAACTTGGCTTTTCGTCGTTTTTTTTCCTCGGGCTTCTTCCCTGGCACCGACTTCTCGCTTCTTTCGTGTGTTTGGATGGGAATATGCCGTCGGGGACACGTGTCCTGGTTGCGGTTGAAAATCCGTTTAATGTTGCACAATTTCCAGCTTTTCATCGAGTCCCCGCGGCGCTTTTCGGGAACGCAAGAATTATATTTTATCCTCACGACTGGATCGAGATTTACGCTCTACTTGAAGTAAACTGGGAAATTATCTTCGTCACAGTTGGGCGAGATGCATTTCAAATTTCCAATTGGGAAAAGGGAGAATTTTAAATTTATTAAAATAAGATTGTGAGCGGTGACGATTTTCTCGCGTGAATATTTACATTCGACTTGAAATAAACAAAAAACGCGCTCTTCGACGAGAAGACTTCTTAGGCAGACATTTTGTAACTTTTTTGGATTGAGATCATGCTTAACCAATTCCTCATTTTAAATGTGAAATGGTGAAATCTTTGGTACAGTAGAAAGTTTTCAGTTCTACTAAAAATCTTGTAGTGGACGAAGAAATAAATGTAATTACTCTACTGTTAAAATACTTTGCTGTGGTAATATTTTGAAAATTAAATTACTGTTTACAGTTATTAATTTTAGGCCCTTCTAGCAACCAAGTCAAGAATTCATGATCGAGAGGAAGTAGGATTTTGTTCCTTCGTACATTTTGGGGAAAACGTGATTTTTAAATTTAGTACTTGTCACGAAGTATTTGTTTTGTGGAATAATTAAATTGGCTCCCGCAGGGTTACGTTTCCTGTCGTGCAATGATTGAATAAACGTGAATTTTGCTTCCCGTGACAGGACAATTTTGGTTGATGGAAGTTTTCCTTGTCGGTTCGTTTTTTTTTTTTTTTTTACTTGATAGAAATGTTTCAAGCAACTATTTGGGTGACGGGAATTCAATCGATTTTTTCCACGTTGGTGGTAGTTGAAGCAAAGCATTTTCTTCGCAACCGCAATTCATCTGTGAAGTTTGCTTGCGACACGTTTTCTCATCTCACCATTGATAGATTCTCGATTTTTTTTTCTCTGTGGAATTGCGTGCTTGTCGGAAGTCTTGGATCAAACCATGAGGTGTTGCCTACATATATCATCGGGGTAAAAGAGCCGCGAATTGAGGAAAATGTTGATGATTTTCACCTCGGCCGGGGCGTAAAACGGTAACGGAAAAGCGGTGATAATCAGTCACCAGAGAGGGGGGTTCCTTCCCGGGGAACATTCGGCTGAGTTTCTCACGCTGCCTTTTCCACGTCGGGTTTCCCTGAAAGGGGGGGGGGGGGGTCTGGAGAGAAAAATGGTTCCCTTTTTTCGTCTTTTGTTGCTGACCACAGAAATCCCGCATTTTTTCCTCCGCAGGGCGTGAGCAAGGTGAAGGCACAAGGCATGGGCGTGCACAAGCCGGAGGAGATCGAAGGAAAGGGACACAGGGACATCCAAGTAAGTTATTCCGTCGCATGAATTCCGCCTTCGTTTTTTTTTTTTAGTGTTTTGTGTGGCTTTTTTATTGATATTTTTCCTGTTTCTGAACGAGAAGACCACACTGGAAGTAGTGACGCGAGAAGGTCCTGTGATGTTTAGCGCAACATAAATCTAGCTACAGTTCCAAAATAGTTTTACCTTAGTTGGCGAATGCTGTGTCCGGCTTTCAACTTTTTTGTTGTTGCGAAAGAAGGTCATGAAAAATTACGGCGCGTCTTAAATTTCATGGAATCCTTGGATTGGAGAGCAAGTGTGATTCTGTGTGAACTACAGGATTTCATGCCAACTCGTTTCCGTTCTTAGACAAAATAAATAAGAGGTGCGTCATATTGTCGAATGGGTGCGGCAGTCGTTGAATTATCTTCTGGCGGTGCGTTGATCATACTGCGTGCTCCGAAGCCCTTTTTTGTAAATGCAATAGTTGTTCGCTGATGCGTTTTCGTAAAAGCAAGTTTTAAAATTCCTTTTCGTTTCAGCTGTGATCCCCGTTTCTGTCGGCTCGAATTTGTCACGAAGAACGAAATTTAACCGAAGAAATTAAAGTTCGTTTATTTCGGGTCAGAGGTACGCTGTATTATCCAGTCTGATTAAATGAAAAGCAAGGTAGTTAATTTTACTCTTTAATTTCCTCCACGGTGATATCCCTCTTGACTAAATTTTGTAAGGTACAGACAGATCTACTAATACTGTGCAGTATTGATTTCGACATTACAGCGGCATTTATCTCTCGAGAAAGACCTATTTTTTTGTCTCGAAGCAAAATTGCTGAAGCTTGTATAAATTTATCTGGAATTTAGAATTACAGTAATGTATTGATGAATATCGAACGAATCAACACATAGACACATATTTAATTTGTCCTAAATTCATTGCTCGAATCGTCCTCCGACAGTGAGAAAGCTGAAGCATTTATTGGCTGGGAGCCATTCAATTTTTGTTGAGGCGTTCTTTCGCAGATGTCACGATAATTTCCATTCTGGATTAATCGTGGCATTTGAAGTCTGTTCTTGTTCGTAATTTCATCCGGAATCCCTTCGTGAATGCATTATTCAAAAAGCTGAATGAGTAGAAGGGATGCAAAAGACGAAGATAGCAATCCAGTTCGTGTCTTGATTCCTTCCACGTGCTAAAAACGAAGGATGCGTTTCCCACTTGTTCAATTTACTTGATGGCTTTCCGTGATTCTAGCGAATGTACCTGAAATTCCTTTCGGGGGTTTATTGCTTTGACCCCGGACGAAGTGGATAAGTCGAAATAACTCGCAGAACAGGGATTACTTCCCTTCAACGAAAAATAATCTTGTAGATAATTTATGGAATACTGTACTGTATAATTAACAACTGCCATTTCTGCACGGGTGGCGATTCCCCAAAAAATTTTCTTCGGAAGTTCCGCCGCTGATATCATGGCATAAATATGGTAAATACTGTACTGTACCTACGATTAGAAACTGATCGATTGAATCCAAAACCCAACTGGCGTAATACAGTACAGTACTGTACAAAATTTGATTGACCGACTGCCTTGCCTGATATAATCTAATCCCCAGCCGATGTATCCAAAGATTGTGCCTAAATTAGAAATACAGTAGCTCAACGGAATTATGACGAACCCTTCCTAACTAATTTTTTAAATCTTGAATGAGTTGACGGGTGGACTAGTAAATACACAAAAATGGCAAGGGCAGATTTACAACGAAGAACCGTAATTCCATTCCACTTTATACCAACAAAATTAAAATCTGTAATACGCTTATTCGAGTGTCGATCTGAGGCTGAACCTCATGACCTGTTCTCATGATTCTTGTTACGAAAACGTTCATTAAAAAGTGGTGTCGGTATTCAAGTAACACGAGGAAGCAGTTGAGTCGGTCAGTAAATTCGTATTCCTCCGCAACAGCAGCTTTAACAAGGAAATCCCCTAGTTGAAAACCTAGTTGCGTAGGTTTTCACGTAAGTGATACTGCCTTCAGTTCGTTAGAGAGAAAAAAAACTGCGCTTGATTAGAATGCAAACCCCTCTGCGTAACCATCATGTCGTTTGTATATTTTGGTAATCGCTCATTGAAAAATAAACAAATAAATTTGCCATTCGTATGTAACACGAGGAAGCAGTTGAGCCGGTCAGTGTATTCGTCAGCACGCGGGATCAATTCCGGGAGGGGGGGGGGGGCGAAATAAATTGATGCTAGGATTGATGAAGCGTGCGTCGTATTGATATTCCGCGTGCAGCAGACTGAAAAACTAGTTGCCTCCTTGGGACTAATGCGTCGCTTTCCCTTTTTTCTCTCTTCTCACTTTCTTTCACAGGTGCTGTCCGACTTACTTGCTGACAAGGAATTCTTCTTTGGGACCGAGCCGGCCTTGGTGAGTCGTAGTGTCGGGTCGGCGTAATGTGTGTGCGTTGCGGCCGCGCCCAGAATCCGAGGCGAAGTTTGTGTTGTTGAGGAAGAGAAACGACGGCGTGGTTTCACGCTCGATCAAAAGGGGTTGCCGGAGTCTCGAGACGGGATGATAAAAGTTTAAAATAAGTAATAAACTAGTAATTGAAGGGTTTTTTCGTGTGTTTGTGTGCTGTCCTTGTAAAGAAATTACACGAGTCCTCGGAAACACTCCCTAAGACGCGTAATTTCCCTTCGCTTCTCTCCCTGCAATAAACGAGATAAACTACAGTATATAACATGTGCCTATCCCGCTTTCTAGCTTCATTGTTTCTTGCGTGAGAAAGATGCCTGTATTATCTGGGGCTCTTACTTGAAGCCTTGCTACTGTAAAATCTTCTGGTAACGAACTGATGACGATAGAAAGGTTACAACTACCGTGCAAAATGTCGGGCGTGTTTTACGAGATTAAAAAAAAAAAAAACAAAAAAAAAACAAAAAAAAAAAAAAAAAAAAAAAAAAAAAAAAACAAAAAAAAAAAGCAAAAAATCAGTCGTTTAGCAACCCCAGATTTCATTGTACGAACATTATATTATTTGAAATTGTAGATATGGAAGTGCATCTGTTGTGAAAAGGTCAATTTTTGATGTTTACCTTTTTCAAGCTAACTTCGCGAATTAAGATGAAAATGCTCTCATAATTTTCAATCAAACACTCCTAAAATTTGTTGTAATGGAATTTTTTCCAGGTCCAGTGAAGAATAGATTTTTTCGTTCGTTCAATTGTAATGATCGATCTGATTTTCTTGGTCCATCAGACGGTTTTGACGTTTTACTCTTGTAATTCGGTTTCATTTTTATTGAAACTTTCCTCAAAAGTTAAAAAAAAAAAACGCGGACTCCGTGAATTTGTAGTCAAACATTGAAGAAGGAAAATCCGGAAGAAGAAAAATTGATGAGAGATTGCGGTATTTGAAGAGAAAGAAAGAAACTAATACTGTACCACGTTTAATATACAATACAGTATTGTTAAAAACCAACCCAAGCTTACGTGCATCCTTTTACTGGGTTTTTTATGCTAGATGAAATCGTGGGGAGTGTTCTAGTTTTTCAATTAATTTTGGATTGGAGAAGCCTTCGTGAAGGATGTAAGGTTTTATTACAAGTCCCATTAACTATTGGAAGAGATTTTCAATGTTAAAAGCGTTAAAAAAATATGCAGAAACTGATCGTCCAAAAAGATAGATCAATGTGAAGTCGTGCGAGATTATCATTGGAATGAGTGGCGGCAAATGAAGCTTATTTTGAAGGGGTCACCACATTCCTCGTCTTTTTTTGGAATGTGAAGGATTCGTTTTATCAGATCTAACAACATTTTCCGGCTCTGTTCCCAAACCCTTGAAATTCTTCTGTTTTTGGGGATTGAACCTGGTTTATCTCCACGTTTGTGGAGAACGAACTCGTCATTCCCAAATTGATACGATCTCGAACTGACGATAACAATCTTCGGATTCTTCAATGTTTTTTTTTCTTCATTCAATTCTACCGGATTTTGTTGTTGTTGTTGGAGAAATTGAATATGAATGCATTTATTCTTGTCTCTTCGTGATGCAGCTGGACGTTGTGGCATTCAGCGTGTTGTCCCAGTTCGTTTGCTTCGACCCGGAGGTTGAATTCCCGCTGCGCACCTGGATTGAACAGAACACTCCGAATGTCATCTCATTCGTTGACCGCATGAAAGAAAAGTAAGAAAGCTAAGCTTGTTGATTCAATTTTTTCTTCTGTTTGACTTACGAGGGGCTCCAGTTTTAACGGACTTTGGTCAAAACAAGGTTTGATCGCAAAGTTCGGTGACTGTTGCTGAATGTACGAAGGTTATAACAAAAGTTCTCGGAATGGAAAATGAAAAAGGTGTCTAATCGAGCTGAAAATTTATTATTACCCTCGTAGTGCTGACCGGTTGTACGGCATTAAATTTCATCGAGTCATTGGGTCGGTTGTTGACCTGCAGTTACGAAAAATATTCATTAGACTCGCACGAATGATGGATACACATGAAAAATACCGTATCTGATTTTTTTTTAAACTGCCATGACGTTCTGAAGATAAATGAAATTATCGTCATACCCTTCAGAATTGAGAACTGATGCGCATGTTGATGACTCGAAGCACTGGAGCAAATGATTCGATCGAAGTGGTACTTCGATCGAATAATTATGGAATTATCAGGCGCCTGTAGTTTTGTTATTGTTTATATCAATTCAATCGCGCAAAGAATTGAACGTAACTTCGATACCTGGATCCTTTCTTTACGACGAACGTGAAAACCTTCATATTTTTGTGTAACAGACGCTCACGGTCGACTGTCTGATCCGTACCGCGTTCGATACAAAATAATAATGATAATGATGAAAAAGACAATAGATGTTCGATAATTTTGTCAGATACTGTTTTGAAACGTTGTCCTCTGCCACTGCAAGATTCGCACCGAACTTTCTGATCATCCTTCGTACTTGTACAGCTGGCTTTTGAGATACTTTTGGATTATTGTTAATGAGTGTCTGCTTGATTAGATGCTTCCCCGACTGGGAGGATATGCTAAAGAACTTGGACTTGAACTCCCACTTGCCGAAGGAGAAGAAGGAGGAGCCGGCAGAAGAGAAGACCGATGAGAAGAAGGAAGCCCCCGAGAAGACCGAGGAAGTCAAGGAGGAAGCCAAGGTGAGACCTTGTGACCCACGTTCGCAAATAACGCAGTAAAAACACGTTTTATTTTTTCCTCTCCCCCGGTGTGTTTCCTTTAGGTCAACGGTGAGAAGGAGGAGAAGAAGGCGGAATAACGGGCTTCTCTGGGCTTAACAGGGAATTGGAAGGTGGAATTTTCGGAGGAGAAATGGGAGATTTTCATTATAGTCTGCAAGGAGGATGAGAGGCTGACGGGAGGATTCTTCACCAATGAATGACGTGTGTACGATGGTTCGCTCTTCGTGCAACTTTCGAACTGCTGACTTTCTTTTTTTAAACCGTAGTGCTGCAAAGACCGCGCTGCAAATCAATTTAAATCTATTTCTGACAAACACGCTAGGCCGTTATTTATGACACCTTTTTTTTTTTTTTTGTGACTCGGAAGCGAAAGTTGCTTGAACTTGACGAAATTTGAGGGGCTGCAGGGAAGATGTTGTGCAAAATTTTAGGGGAGAAGACCATCGTATGTTTTTTTTTTTGTGTGTGTAAATGCTGGAAAATATTTGTACAGTTTGGACGAGTCCGGCTTTTTTTTTCTCCGTTCGGTCCCTGCTTTCTGTTTCCTGCTTGTTATTTTGAATTTATTTTTGGTACTTGAGGTTAGTTCGAGTTTTGCTTTTTGAATTTTGGCTTGTGTGGTATCTCGGATGTGTTTGTTTTTTGTTTTGTTTCGTACGCGCTTGGATTGACTTCGAAATCTTTTGCCTCTGGTCGCATACCCATGGAAGCAAAACTTAAAAGTACAATGCCCTGATTTTTGACTACAGCCGAGGAAGGGGTCGCTGTGATGGGGTCGACTAGGCGAGGGTATAGGGAAAATCTGGGTCTGGAGACGAGTGGTTGAATCAAAAATGAGAGGGAATATCCGAAGCTTCTTAGTTTTTCGGCGTTGCTCAAAGGTGAATAAGCTCTCTTCGATTGATTTTAGCTCCTAGACAGCGCCGCACTCTTCACGCTAATCAGAACTGGTGAAATGATAGCTTCGAAAGTAGGCGAGATTTTCGCAGGCGCTTTCAAGGCTCACGATGCTCTAAATCCAGCCCGAAAGGTCCGGATAAGACTGCCACATAGAATCTATCTATATTCAAGGGAATATTTGCATGAATAAGCTTTTTGAGGAAGAAATTTTACTCTCCTTTTCCGCTGTATTTTTGCTATTGCTTACTCGACGTATCTTTTGTAACTTGGGTACCCCTTTTTTATTCGCTTATACCATAGGTTTCGCGAAACTTGATATTTCGGCTTCCATAGGATCCTTTGCGGACTTCTTCGATCACTCCGCGACGAGGTTTGCTGCAAGAAGTTAGGGGCCCGGATTTTTATCGATTTGTATTTTATTTGGCTTACTGTTATCGATATTCTATTCGTGGCTAGTTATCGCAACGTATGATTTCTTTGTGGGCGAGAACTGCTTTGAATGTCGGCTTCTATGGAGAACTTCTGAGTTAGAATCAATGCTAAACGCGTTTGAAGTAAATGCTGCGGTTGATCCTATGGTTTTTCAGTGTATTGCGTTCTTGAATAAATGTATGGAAATCTCTACTATCATGTGAACAAATTTTTTTCCATCCTCGTGGAAGCTTGAATTATTGTAGCGTTTAAGTGATTGAAACTTAATTCCTCGACGATGGCAGGTATTTCTACAGCGCATCTCTCGCAATGGGACCACTGACAGGAAAATTAATGTTCATTCCTTCAAGACGATTCACTTCACAAAAAATGTTCGAAGTTGGTTGGGTGCATCCCGTACCTGGATGGTTTCAGAGATTTACTGTTCGATCTGCCTTGTGACCAACATTATCTCGAACAGAGATCCACAAGAAATTCTTTCCTCAAGGACAGTATTCGACCACTCTGCGAATGAATGACGAATAATGATTCATCGGGTATTATTACTGTCGCCCAGAGTACTGTATTCCAGGCAGTACAATATTCTTGCGATAGATGGGGCAAACCGGAAGATGTTGAAGCTGGTAATCGACCTGTTCACGCCAATTCTCACAATGAGATCAAACTCAATTCGACTCAAGACTGCATGCTACAGAGACCATGCGTTCAGCGATCAGTGGATTATAAAAATCGTCGAAGGCATTACATCTGCTGATGCATGCTTAAGAAGGAACTGTGGAATTTTAAATTATTGGACTTACCCGCGATTGCAGGATTTCACCAAAAAGTACCCTTCTTCGTAACATTTTGAATTACTGTACGTTAAATCATTGGATGGAATCGCAGGCCTTCAGTATCTCAGCGCGCTGCAGGGGTGGCAGCCTAGTTGCTTGCACTTCGTTAGAATCGAAAAGCAGGGCAATAAGAACGGGAAACATGCGAAATTGAGAACTAGGACCGACATCTACGAGGTACATAGAAAACGCAAGAATGATGTCAAGTAGAGGTCGCAGGCAGGTTATGATATCAAAATTTATGATCATTGTATACAGACCAGCGCACGACTGAGTGTCTTGTACCGGGAAAATTTGCTGAATGATGATTCATGTTTACGTTCAACCAGAGAATGTATTCGTAATTATTTTAAGGAGAACATATTTTAGGACATAATCATTACAACCAGCATTACATGTGACTCTAGAGTCTAGACAATTGTACCACAGACAGCCTCTCGGTTTTCTTCCTCATGTCTTATTGTACAGCAGCATTGTGACCAGCATAGTGGGGCATATAGCTGCATGTTCAAGCTATCAAGCATTTACTTGACCAACCAAACTGGAAATCTTCAATCAATCAATCCCCTTAAATTCACACAGGGAATAAATTCGATTTGATTAAATTGAATAAATTAATAAGAATTGGTTTAACATGTTTAGAACACCGGCCATTCTGCCTATGCACCATACGCATTTTACTGTGTGGCATGGATCAGTGCTGAATTCAGAGGTTCTGAAGGCCCTTGAGTACTGTGCCTCCAATTTGAATAGTACCGCACATTATAGAAAGCATTTTTGCCAATACTGTATAAGTACTGTACTGTGCATAAATACTACTTCACTTTCACTTGTTATTTTTTCTGTCCCGTTTTATTTCGTTGCCCCAGACACATTAGCCGAATAACCTTGAGTATTTCAATCTTTGAAATCTCCATCCTGCATTTTTGGTTGGGACACATGTATGATTCATTTGAAGTGCGACAAGGATTGTGTGGGCATATGCTTGCCTGGCTTTGTTCTGTACTGTGGAGCATGGATTAAGATCGAAGTGCACCTTACCACGCAACAACTAACCCACCGCGGAACTGTTATTTGGGGGCATGACTGTTCGTGTGCATCACGAATCGCGCGAGGATTGAGTCAGATTTCGTTGAATATCTATGAAAGAATGTGGAGCTTGAACGTGGATTGGAGTGGAATTCCCTGTGTAACATTTCGACGTATAGGCGCTCTAGTGTACAAGTGCCGTTAAGTGTACTGCGAATTGTGGATGGATAAGAGTTGATGACATTTTTCTTGGGAGTAATCCATTATTTCATTTGTGATGCTCTACATGTCGAGTAGCGGTGATATCTGACCTGTGTGAGAGTAGGCCGGAGATTTGTTCAGCAAGTTTACTAATGGATCTCAAAGCTCGAGCTGGAAAAAGACTGAGTTTCTATCGCGTTTAGATTGGGCTGTGATCGACCGTGTGACCACGGTGTTCGGATCAGAAACATGCCTCTGGGGTACTCTATGTATCTTCTTAGCTCAATTCTGCTTGGTGAAGAACCGGTGCGTATGATAATATCTAAGATATTGATCATTCAGAATTGCAACTGTGCGACTCATCTACAGACGGTGGAAGATTTCATCCTGCTTGTTGGAACTAGCGTGGCATTCATTGCATTCATTCTGTGGTGCTGTTTTCCTGTTGTGCCGAAAGAGCCGGTACAAAATTCTGACGGAGAATCGAAATACTTTCAATACCGTAAAGCCGACTCGTACGACGAACGGATGTATTAGACTAGATATCCGTAACCCTTTGCAATGACATCACAGTACTGGTATTTTTTCCCAGAAGTCCTGTTCGAGATGTGTGATCTCAGTCGCTTTTGGCGTTGTTTTGTATCAAGATGATTCTATGAACCGTCTGCGTGATCTTAATTTTCGGAAGCTCAAATTCAGAGTAGCCGCATGGTTTTTGGTATGCATCCGCGTTTTGTTTTTGAATACGGTTGCTCGAGTTCAAGTGTGCTCCCATTGCTAGCGAAGAGCATTTATGTGCGGTGAAAATAAAAAATTCGCGTCGCGTGTGTTCATCTCGAATCTTGCAGTTTTTGCCTTATCTCCTGCTGTTGGCAGAATATCGCTATTTTGAAGGGCTCACCTTCATTGTTCGTGTCAAACTTCCAGTTGGAAATTTAGTTGAAAATTAATTTAGTGGAAATGTGTTTTCTTTTTTCCAGATCGAATGTTATTTTAAAAGTCTATATCAGTTATTTTTTTTTCGCCTGTGATCTTCGTGGAAAAAATATAGCCATGGTTGCTTGTGCCACAAAGGCCGCAAGACGTCCTACCAATGGACATATTGGCATCAACGGCTTTAAAACGCATATACGATATCCTTCTGCAGATGTATCCTTCGCTGCCCTTACCACTCCAGTCGAAAACAAGAAATTCGATTTTCAAGATGACAGGGAGAGCCGTGAACAAGTTTCATTATCGGCTGCGTTTCTGACCTACTTCTCCTATGGTTTACTCACAGTTGTTGGTTATGTGCTGGAAGGATTGGCAAAGCTCGGTATTGGTGGACATGGGCTTATGCGTGACCCGAGGGTAAAAGAAGGCATTGCTCCCTTGTACGCCAATTTCGAGAGCTTCTTCACGCGTCACATTTATCGGAGAATCCGAGACTGTTGGAATCGACCAATTTGCTCAGTTCCAGGATGCAAAGTATTGCTTAAGGATCGCTACACGCCGGACAACGGATGGACGTTCAATTTCACCGGAACAACGACGGAATGCATAAATATGGGTTCTTACAATTATTTGGGTTTTGCCGAAAATGTGGGCCCCTGCTGCCGAGCTGCCGCTGAGGCAATTCGCACTGAAGGCTTGACATTGGCCTCTTCCATCAGTGAATTGGGTGTTGGTCGTGCCGTCCGTGAATTGGAAATCCTGGTTGCCGAGTTCCTTGGGCTGGATGATGCCTTGGTCTTTGGCATGGGATTTGCCACGAATTCCCTGAATCTGCCTGCGCTTGTTTCGAAGGGGTGCCTGATAATTTCGGACCAATGGAACCACGCGTCGTTGATATTGGGCAGTCGGCTTTCCGGTGCATCAATTCGAGTTTTTCAGCACAACAATATGGCATCTTTGGAGCAAGTCCTCAAAGATTCAATTATTCAGGGGCAACCCAGAACGAAGCGTCCATGGAAGAAGATCCTCATTGTTGTTGAAGGAATTTATTCCATGGAGGGCACAATAGTCAATCTGCCTGGAATCATCGAACTAAAGAAACGGTACAAAGCGTATCTTTATCTTGATGAAGCTCATAGTATTGGCGCGATTGGACCCAGAGGAAGAGGTATTACCGACTATTTCGGAATCGATCCCAAGGAGGTTGACATAATGATGGGAACCTTCACGAAAAGCTTTGGATCTGCCGGTGGATATATTGCTGGGAAGAAAAGCATCGTACAATATCTGCGGTCAAATTCGCATGCTACAAGCTATGCTGCTGCCATGAGTCCGCCTGTGGCACAACAAATCATTAGTTCTATGCGTATCATTATGGGGAAGGACGGAGACGGTGAAGGATTAGCTCGCATCAAAGCTTTGGCAGCAAATTCACGGTACTTCAGGCGACGACTGACGCAGCTGGGATTTATTGTCTATGGACACGACGATTCACCAGTTGTTCCTTTGATTCTGTATCAACCTGCAAAAATCGCAGAATTCGTGAGATTGATGACAAAGAAAGGAGTGGCTGTTGTTGGTGTAGGTTTCCCTGCCACGCCGCTCATCGAGTCCAGAGCCAGATTTTGTTTGAGTGCTGGGCACACGCGAGAAATGTTGGACACCGTCTTGGAAGCCACCGATGCAATTGGAGACAAGTTACTGATTAAATATTCTATGAAGCCCGGCTCGAAAAAGGCAATCAAGTATGAGCTTTGATGTGCTTCTCTCATGCTTTACTGCGCTAATTCCTACTTTAAAAATTCCATTATCTGAATCTCACGTTTCAGTCAGAATTTCAGCTCTATTTTCTTCATTCCTTCCATCCTTTGCCGATTGATCTTTCAGATGTATTTTCTTGTTGGAAGTGAAGATATTTGTGGAATCGTACATTTTGCACCGGCTTGAATGTCAAGTTACAAATAACTCATGTGGGGCCTCGAATAGTGAACTATGTGTAATTTAATGAATGAAATGCCTTTGTCGTGGGTGATGCAAAAATGAGCACTGGGCATTTCGTGTGAGGTATGATTTTTGTGCCGCGCAAAATTGAACCGGTTGAAACGTTCCGTCACATAATTTTTACCGAGTTCGCTACACATGGTTCTTGGAAATGTTATGCAAATTGAAAGATCGTTGAGTGGTTGTGAGTCGCATTGGTGGATATTCCTCTTGTAACTAACTAAGACAAAGTTCGGAGATACATGGAAGAGGTGTTGAAGACTTAAGACTTCCTCGCTTTCTTGCTATCGTTCGAGGATTTTTTTTAGTATTTTCCAGTCTCGCTTTTTTTAATACTTGATCTCTTGATATTTTCTGGTTATCTGAACGTTACTATGGTCGATTTTTTATCAAAATATATTCCAAGTTACCGATGGGCGATGATTTATTCCCTCCAGTGTTCGTTTAAGATATCGTGGATTTTTAGCATTGATGGATAGGATTCCTTCATGAACTACCATAAGTTACGATTTGCATCATTTTTACTCCTGCTTTGTATTTAGTTAATCTTCACAGTTCACACTTCAAAGAAATCTGCAGCTGAACTTATTCATTCTTCTCTAAAAGAATGTGTTGCACATAGATTCGCGGTGTGATATGTATGAGTTGGGTATTTATCCCGATCATGTCTTGAGATTTCTGGCAACCGCCACCCGTGACAATTGCCCTTGCATATCAGGATTTTTAAAATCTTCTGTTGATACCCACCAAGTTTGGGTTCCAAGCTGTTCAGTGTGGAGCTTTCAACTTTTATTTAAGTCGATTCTTGGACTACGAGGCTTCAAAAGCAATGCGAATTCGTACTAATCGTCCTTGTGAAACACAGCATTGCCACTGCATTTAACTGAACAATGGGAATGGGGAAATGCTTCATTATCGTGTCGGTTTTCTGTGATCATTGGTTTGATTTTTTTTTCTGTCGTTCGGAGTTTTGTTGAGTTCATGATATTGTTTTGAAGCCCGGAAAGTAAAGTAATTGCTTGACAAAAGTTTTGTTCGATTTTTTTCGAAAATGAATTGGTTGTGCATAACATCATCACGCATGGGAATTTTTTTCTCCACACAGAGGAAATGATCCGGGTTTGATGATGTCAGAGTCACGAATAGGGAATTCCGTTCACCTCAGAGAAATGTTGAAAATGTGTTGAGGTCAAATCGTGCATGAGTGGCGCGGTGAGTGCTGCCGAGATTTTTCCTTATCTGAAATTAGGCTCATGGTATCCTGTTCACGTGCAGATGTCCTTGGAAGACGCGGCTGACTATGCATTTGCCGCCGTCAAATTTGACGAAACCGGAAATTTTGATGCTGCGATTTTTTACTATCGAGCCGCTGCTGAAACTTTGGACACATTTGGCAAAGATGGAGGTGTCTTATCTGCCGAATGGGAACAGAAAAGAAGCAGCTACGTGGATCGCTTGAACTTACTGCTACATTCCCGTTGGTATATCAGTTGATTCATCCTTAGTAACTCGCGTAAATGCTTCTCCCGATAATTCACCGATTTTAGGTTGAGTCACGATACCGTAAATGAGAATTTCTTTATCTTTGTTTGAGCAAATACGAAAAGTCAAAACTTTAAAACGGACCAATCACGCTACTTTTTTTTTCTGTGCATATTTTCGAGTTCACTCGCACTATATTTTTTCGGTTGAATAATATTACGCTCAAGTATTCAAGCGTTAAAGGTCGAATCTAGGTTTCTGAACTTATTGTGTTCCGTGACCGTCATTCCACGTTACTTGTCTCCAGCGAAATAAGGAAATGGCGAAGATACAGTATTCTAAATTTAAATAATCCGATGATTTAATCTTCTGTGGAAGCACCACAAATCGTCATAAGAGATTGCTGAAAATTATCTGACGAAGCGTATCTTTACCGTTACTACAGGGGATGAAAGAAATGTGTCTGGCGATAATGTCGCGAAAGCGCAAAAATCTGGGCCTTCTTCGAGAGCCAAATTCCTGCTTTCTCAAGCATTGGATGCTGACGAAGCCGGTGCTGTTGACACTGCGCTTGAGCTGTACACAGATGCCGTGCAGCAGTGTATTGAAGCGGTATGTAGGCACCGTTGTAACCATGGTAGCAGACAATAAATTATTCAGTTCGAACGCATAATAATTATCCGTCACAAAGGTGGAAGGGCTACATTAAGGTATGGGTGGGGTAGAATATTGCCGCATATTCCTGAATACTGTACTGTACTGTAAAATAGAAAATCGGGTACAATATGTACTGCAATAAATCAAGGACGTCTTGATTCGAATGTAAAATGCTGGTCTCTGGGTTCGTTCAAAAATGTGTATACAATAAAATTATGAATACATATGGACAGGTTTAGGGACATTTCAGAAAAACTTGATGAGCGCGAATTTTTTTTTATCCCATATTGAAAAAAATTCTTGTGAATGAATAATGAACAAACAATGAAAAATTCGTTTGTCAGTATCAATGGCAGGGAAAAATTGCGATTGTAAACGCTTGTTTAAATTTGTTTATCCGACGAACTCGTCGTACAGTAGATCTTGCCATAACTAAGGATGAATTTAAAGCATGTTCTGAATAAGAATTTAAAATACCGAGTCAAAATGCGTGGAATTAAATATCCATATTTTTCTGGGATGTAGCAATCTTCCTATAGCTAACACAATCCATTCACTTGAAGAATAAATATTGATGAATTGACCCTTTATTCTTTGACACGCCTTTCTTTTTTTTTAACGAGTATCAACATTCATTAGTTCCTACATGATTTGTTTCCACTTCAAATTGTATAGTTTTTGCCATGCCGTATTATCTTGTAAAGCTTAAATTAGATCTTCTTAGATTCCTCAACAAACTTTTTATTTTTTGGTTGAGAAGTCGCAAAATTGAAACGCTTTTTAGAATCTGCAACGTCTTTTCTTTGCATCCAAATGTAAATGACGGCAGGTTCTCATTCGGTATCGAGTACTGTACAGTATTTTGGTTATATTTAAGAATTCGTGGAGTTAACCTTTTAATTCTCGCTTTTCCGCTTGCTAGAAAAAGCAATGTTCGGATCAGAGTCAAGCAAATGAACTGCAAAAACTTGCCCTTCAAGCATTGGAAAGGGCAGAGGTGCTAAAGGGAATCCCTGTAGCCAAAGATGCAGCACCACCGCAGTCGACAGCTCCTGTCGACTCAAAACCCAAGATCCCGTCGTACATGGTGGGAAGAGTTGTCCCACCCCTTGGAATCGGAACCATACGACCAGACGTCCAGCCGCAACACGTTTCAGTGGCGACTCGTTCTGTCGCCATGAACAAGAGCGATCAGTTTTATTCGGATGATGAAATTTCCGTCCTCAAGCACGGGTCGCGAATCAATAAACGCGACTACCTACCGTTCATGAGCATCGATTTGCGTGAACGATTTGCCTTCCCGTTGCCATTTACGGACAAGGACGGATTTCTGTCACTTTCAAAGAAGCAGAAGTCCGTGTTTTCCAGATGGGCGCGTATCGAGGAGCTCAGCCCGGAGCCGAAAATGGTTGATGGGGACGTCGATTGCTTGTCGATACGTCAAACAGTCGTTTCGGATTGTTCTTTCGTTGCATCGTTGGCCGTTGGTGCCCTGTATGAGATAAAATTTCCTGGAAAGCGAATCATAACCGGAACATTATTTCCGCAAAATAGCAAAGGACAGCCAGTTTACAATCCGTGTGGCAAATACATGGTTAAACTTCATATTAATGGCATAAGCAGGAAAGTGATCGTCGACGACTTTCTTCCCGTGAGCGCTCGTGGGGATTTGCTTTGCTCTTACTCGAGCAATAAGAACGAATTCTGGATTTCGATTCTCGAAAAAGCGTACATGAAGGTGATGGGAGGATACGATTTTCCTGGGTCAAATAGCAGTATAGACCTTGGTGCCTTGACCGGTTGGATACCGGAAAGAGTCAGTATTGGACCAGAAACCGAACCGATGGCATTTTTTGAAAAGCTGTCGAAACATATGCGTCGTGGGGACATTTTAGTAACTTTGGCCACTGGAAATTTACCGCAACATGAAGCAGATCGTGCTGGCCTGGTTCCCACTCACGCGTATGCTGTGCTCGATGTCAAGGACGTTTTGGGCACGAAATTGCTCATGCTGAAGAATCCTTGGGCACAATTGAGATGGAAGGGGAATTACTCGGAGCTAGATCGCAATCATTGGACTCCAGCTTTGAAAGCGGCGCTGAAATATGATCCCCATTCCGCGAAGACTTTTGACAATGGTGTTTTCTGGATAGACTACGCCAGTGTGCTCAAATATTTCGACGTGTTTTACTTGAGTTGGAATCCCAGCATTTTTTCCAATACCTACTGCATTCACAGGTTAGTCATTTTTTTTTCTTTCTTTTCCAGCCTACTTCGTTGTTGTTTCGAATTCTAATCACAGAATGAACTTCCTTTTTTCATTTTGTTGATGAAGGACTTGGAATGCTGGGGTGGGACCTGCCAAGGATTTGTACACAATAGGTTTTAATCCTCAGTTTCGCCTTGAGGTGAAAGGATCAGCGAAGTCTGTTTGGGTGCTATTGTCTCGTCACATAACGGAAATAGACGATTTCAAAGATAACAAGGAATACATAACATTGCTAGTCTACAAGTCGGACGGAAAGAAGATCTACTATCCCCGTGAGTAATTCCAGCAAGCAGAAAATTTGTGTGCCGGTCAACTTCGGATTTTCATTCAGAAGGTCCTCCATTATTTATTTCTACAGTGTGTTGTGTGCATGTACAGCATTAATTCAATAAGGTCTTGCTTTTGGGTTTGTGATTGAATGAGAGTGGTATACTGTATTGAAGTTGTGCTTGAGTCGATTTAATATTTCGGTATAATATTTGATAACTCATTTTCTTGAACGTCTGTTGTTTCCAAGATGAACCACCTCCGTACATGGACGGCGTTCGCATCAACAGTCCGCATTATTTATGCAAGATCGACTTGACGGATGAAACGAGGCTGTTCACGCTAGTGGTTTCCCAGTACGAGAAATCCACTACGATTCATTATACGCTCCGTGCATTTGCCAAATGTCCCATTCTCATTGCACCGATTTTGGATCCCTTTAAATACTTGAAAGAGGTACGATATCTCAGAGCTGTGATTTTGTGCATAGTGTGAAGTGGAAGTTCAAGATCGTTTCTGGTATTTTTCAAAGGAAAGAAGTGGGCAGTGGAAAGGTCGAACTGCTGGGGGTTGCCAAAACCACCGAGAAACGTACCACAACAATCCAACTTATCAGATAAATTTGGAATCGACTCCGGCAGAAACTTTGATAGAACTTCGTGGTCCAAAGCAATTTGCAGTCGGATTCGAAGTGATCAGTGTTTCAGTTAGTAAAGATGCTCCAGAATTTCTGCGGAAGAATAGTGGAGCCTTTCGTTCCGGTTACACGGTGTTACACTTGACAAATATGCGCGCGTCGACGTACAACATCATTCCAGCCACGTACTCACCTGGCGAGGAAGGTCCCTTCTTTTTGACTGTGAGGTCAACCCAGCCTTTAACTCTGTCTCGTTTGTGATATCACGAAGTGACCAATCGAGCTTCTTACGTGATTGCGTTAATATTTCACTAAGATTGATTGGATAATCCCGAGAAGGTGCCCGCATTTGCGATGTGTGATGACTTCTCATTGATCGGTGACACGACCTGTTCGACGATTTCGTTCTCGAAAGTATTGCGGCTCAAAGAGGTTTTACGTTTTCACCTGCTCCATCTAGTTTAATAAACCAAATTGATTGGCTATGGGTCATTGTTCGGTCCAAATTCAATGGGTTGATAAACATTAAATTCATAAATTGTCGTATAAAAGTTTTATCTCAGTGTTTGATTTCGTGTTGCACGCACGCGCTTCAATTTTCGTGAATTGCTTCTGCATCCCGCCGAAAAAAGAAGAAATAACGTTTCACATCTGGCAATTTTTTCTATATCCAGTTTCTGACGCTTTTTCCACGTATAGTAATATCCCAGTGTTGTCATTGGCATCGACTTCGAAATAAATTACTCCATGCATTGATCGATCAAGAACGGCATTTGGAAGTTAGTTTTCGGATCAAGCGGAAGCTTTGAGGAAAATTTACGGTTATCACAGTGAAAAAAGTATTGCAAAAACCTTCAATGTGACAAAGACGCATGGAAAATGAAGATCAGTTTTAAGACAATATAGCGTAATGTTTCCGGCGTGCTGCAAATTTGAAATTTCGTGCATATGACGGTAATCTTGGTGATTTCCATCGTTCTGTTAGGTTATATAGCATGAGCAATCCGTTTTTTAATGAAATTGAAATGACGTCTTGTTTTTTCTAATGGCAAAATTTTGATTCATTCTTCCAGCCGTTTGTTGATTTTTTTTTAAAGAAATGGATCGTATAAAATATATTTTGAAGAAAAGCTGAAATGTGGAAGTTATGCATGAAGTTGTGGTCAACGTTTCGATCCTTTTTAATGTATTGAATGCGATCTTTTATGTGGAATTCGCAGTCTGTGCCTTACTAGTCACGAATGTTTTGGGAAGAATCTTCTAGCGAGTTTTCCGGTGGCGGAAGCACTGAATTAAGCCTCGAAGCCAGGTATGCCCGGACTAAAGCAGTGCTAGAAAAATATGTCAGTGACGACAAATTCCGAAAGTGTCGTAACGCCGCCGTTTTGGAGGAAGTTAGGCGCCTGAGAGAAGAACTCGAGAACTGGAACTTTTATCCAAAGAAAGTGTGTTGAGCATTCGCGTAGCCCCTCGAAAATATTCACTACTCACGTGTAATTGTTCCTCGACAGGACGGATTGGAACAAATATCGAAGGTGTCTCCGACATGTGTTAATTCAGGCACTAGCACGGACGATTTTCCTGCTCTAGTTGATGCAGGGGCGCAAACTCAACAAAGCAACTGGCTGGAATGTGACGATCGATTGGTTGAGGAAGAATGCTTCCCCATTACCCGCCGAGAGAGCATTTTTTCCTCAGCGGTAGTTGTTCCGTCTGATGCCCCTACGCAAAATGAAAATATTGGTAAGTTATTTGCTCAACAGTTTTTTTCAGAATTGTTTTTCAGACGAGCTGATGGTTTTTCCCTTTGTAAATGAAGTAAAGCTGCGATTATCCCGATTTATAACCGGGTGCTTTTGCCAAGTTATTTGAATATAGTATTAATGAATAATTTTTCACAGTTACTTCATGAATGCTCCGACATGATATTTCTGACTGTCCCGAAATTCTCACATTACCGTATTCTGGATAATTGGTCGAGACGAGGGAAATAAAGTGGCTCAATTTCAGATTAATGTACTGAAATACAAACCTCTTGTTTTTCTCAATGAATTGAATATTCGTGCTTAAAAGTAAGATAATCAGTGTTCGACTGATACTAATTCATGGAATTTACACGTTTCAGGTTTCCATCAAGTCCCTGATCTCAACCCTGCAGTTCCGAATTTAGAGTCAGAAGTGCGAACAGATGAAGACGTCCATGATGTGGATATGCATGAAGTAGATGAAGTTGAAACTATTATCGCCGTTGATATTGGGGCAGGAAAAAATCAGCCAGAAAGTCATATGATCACTCCTCCAACAAATGAAAATACTATCCACACTGAAAATTCACAACATAAAGCGCCAGTCGTGATTGACTCATCCACAGGAGACGATGATAGTTTTTTTGAAGAGGGTGCAAAGTCAGGTGAGCATAGAAATTATTAGTACGGTATTATTAGTTTATTTTTTTATTCAGCGTGACATGTATATTGCGTATCTTCTAGTGAATGCTGCGTATTTGAAACTCCTCGGAGCCGGAATGAAAAGACAAAAAGCCGACGATGTCGATAGTCTCGACGATGACTTGGAACGACGAGTTTCGGCTGAGGTTGTACAAAAATCGTCCACTGGATCTATGCCAAAGCTCGGAAGCATTCTCAAGAAAATGGGGCAAGAAAGTGACGATGAATTCGTTGTTGAAGGAGGAAAAGCATCCGATGATGACGACGATTTCTATTGATACGTTCATGCTGTTTATGCATGTCGTGTGATCTTGATTTTGCTTGGAGCAAGATATTCAACTAAATGACGCTGTGTCCACTTTTTTGGGCTGCGCTACTTTTTGAGCGCGGAATAGAAAAGCTGTAATAAAATTCAGCCATTCGGGTCTTGAAATATTTGAAAGCTTTTTAACTTCTGAGCATTCATTTGACGGAGAGTTTTTTAAACATATTTTTCAGTTGGATATTTAAAATGTTGATACTACGTTGAGAAACACTGTGAAAATGGAATCCTCAAGTTCTGTAGTTCCTGTGAATCCCTACCGGCGGATTCTCACAACAGGAATAGGGGCTGCCGCGTTGAGTGCTGGATTCAGAACAGTATCTCGATCTGCAGCAGAGACACTCACCGAAATGGTCCTCAGTTGTGAGTAAAATAGACGGATTTGTTATCCAGAGAACGTCTGACGCATAAATTTCTCTCGGTTTCTTGATACGGGCGTTTCTTTGAATTGGTTGATTTCATGAAGTCCTTCAATACCTGAAATCCGCCGTTAGTCTGGAGGAAAGAAAAACTCATGCAACACGTTTTCTGTAATCTGTAAATGCATGAAAAAGTTCAAAACTTCAAGACATGTGAATGGGGAACTTCTGAGCTTTTTTAATTTCTCTTCGTGGAAGACCTTGTATTTGTGCATTTTGTGAGCATGAAGTTGTCATTTAAATCGTACTTTATGATTGATTCTTATCTGTTTCAGTTCTTTCGGAGCTTGGAAGAAGTAGTAAGACTGCATGTGAGCTTGCTGGGAGGACGGTCCCGGTGGCGAACGACGTGATATTTTCTTTGATTGAAATGGGAATTTCGGTACCAGATTTGATCAGGTACTTCAAGACGAGTGCCAGTCAAGCCACGAACAAGAAAAAGTTTGTCGTCCCAACTCCAAGTTCGGTTCCTGTTCCTGTCCCTCCGGCCATGTTGCATGTGGATGGGCCAACTGCTCCAGCGAAAAAGAAACGGCTGAGGTCGAACATACCCGATTATTATCCTGATTTTCCGGATCCTCACACGTACATTTGGACTCCTGTGAGTGTTCCACTTCATTTTTTTCTTCTTGGAAATTAATTACTATACAACTGTTGTCTGATGATAAGACCTTTAAATTCTTAGTTTTTATTTCCATAAAAAATTAAAGAACGCATTCGACATTTTTCATTCGGACCGTGTAATGAATTTCTTCAGGTGCCAACAATTTTTCAGCGCTTAGACTGACCGAAAATCCATGAAGTGTGCCACAGTGGGAGTAAATTCTAGTTGATAAGCAATGAAGCACATTTTAAACTCATGAATGGTAACGATGACCAGGCATTAATCGATTACCGTAATACTCTGAAATAATTTCGGACAATTTTGAATTACGTCTGTTCGTCCAGAGGGGAAGCATGTATTTTGTATAACTTATAAACCATAACTCATACGTTCTCATGCCAATGCGTAAACTAGCCATATAACCATTTTGAACTGGATTAAGCTATTTTAAACCCAGATTTCTCGCCCGTTTTCAGACGTACAAGCAGCCGGTGACTGACTATCTGACGATAAGAGACAAAGCTGCGAACCAGAAGCGAGACGTTGAAAAAGCGCTTTGCCGATTTATTGCCAAAACCGAATCGACATCCAATTTGTTCCTGGAGAGCGATGACGGACCCACACTCCTTCCAGGTTTGTGCAAAGGAAGCTCGCGGGAGTTTTTGGTGTTTTGTCGTTACCTTCAACCAATAAACAATGTTATAGTCATCTCGGTTGAGTCTGCTCCACTTCCATACATCCGTGCGATGCTGTTCAAAGATCAGTATTTCAACGAAGAAATTGACGAAGAATCAGAGTTTGCATCGAGTAAACCGAAGCGAAAGCGAAAAGCGGCAGCGAATACGTCACGGAGCTTGAACACCTCGCTGTTGAGCGATTGCGACGGGGACAATGAGAATGATGAAAATGGAACGTGTGCATCCCCGTCTCCTGCAACACCGGCGAAAGATGCATCAGAAAACGCCGAGCAGGATATCGAAAACCCGTTTTTAAGATCCCCGAAATTGCCCCTCAAAGTACCTCGATAAATCTCAATTTATCCTAATGGAATCTTTGTATCGCGATTTCCGAAATTATTGTTCGAAGGTAATTCCTTGGCGCTGTACATGAAGTGCAGTATTTTTCTCGGAGGTGTTGTAAACTTGAGTGTGCTGGTATGTATGGTTATTAAATGCTCTGCGACCGCGGTTTTTTACCGAAATAGTCTGTTCGTGTTATTGCTTTGGAGTACTGTATTGTAGATAGAATAATTTTTCGAATTATCAATGTGTATGGTCAGTAATTAAGGGTGCTTTTTGTGAGACTGAGTTGCTATTGCGTGATGAAAAATTTTTGGTCGAATTATAAACATCGCTTTGCCCCGTTTTTAGCGGGACATCTATTGTCGCGGTGAGTTACTCTGTCCCTTGACTTCGTTCAGTTCTCATCACTGAAATATCTTTCAAGTGAAACGAAGGTGGTTTCTAAGTCTGCACATTTCACCGAGAATCAAGAAGTGCTCAGAGAGTCGATTATCGATGCGATGTCATGCATGTCTACGTGTCTCACCGGTGGAATTTCTGTCGCCGATGCATTGAGGAACGGCTTTCTGAGGCGAACTCACGAACAAAATGCTGAAGTACTGGTGAAAATGTAATTTTTCCCATAATCGGAAGTAAATTTCGTGCGTTTCAGGCATTGCGAGTTCTTTGGGGTTTTTCTGTTGAGAAAAGGCCATCTGCTATAGAAGGAGGAGGACACGGCGTTTTCCTCACTGGGAATCCATGCGAAAGCGGCCACGTAGTTTGCTTGTATCCTGGGACAATTTATCGACCTGGGGAGCCTATTTTAATCCAAAGCCTTGGGAATTCCTTTGTGTTACGCTGCTGTGATGGAGTCTTGATCGATGGTTCAGCCGGTTGGATCTCGGCTGCAATCTACAAGTTTGTTTGCCGAATAATGTGTTCGCTGAGGATTTTTGTTATCCAGCCCTGACTTGGTTCTCTGTTCGATTCCCAATTAACTTGCGCTAACTCTATTTTAGCGCCGATAACCGAATATTTCAAAATCGGAACACTTTTTCCATTCGATAATTTTAAGATGATTCATTAATTTGTAGCAATTTTTCTACCTGCAAATTGAAAATTATCCAGTTAAACCTGAAAATCGAAAATTAGCCAGTTGAATCTGAAAAATTTTCGAGTTTTTTCTACCTAGAGGTGCAAAAATGGGAATATTGGTTTAGAATTTATAAATCTTGCGAGTTGAAAATACGTAATATCCATATCCATACATCAATCAAAATAATCCAAGGATGGACGGAGGTCATGAACCAACTCTCATCTGGAAGCAGTAGATTCAATTTAGTAGTGTAGTAGCGCTTCTACGTAGTTTATTTTGGATAATGAATTATGAAAATTGCGATTTTCGATCCGACAGATCATGTGTCGGTCGTGACAAATATGATCTCTACCGTAATTCCGCCGATCTGAGCTGGCTTTCGTCTTTTCCTGAAGTTCCCTTCAATATTGGGCAGTACGTAAACAACGGCGGAAAAGGTTCGTTAAATTTTTGCAACATCATTATTACCGTACATTCGGACATGAATGTTTTCCCTAACTAAAAGCTTGGGATACGCCATAGGAATCTAGTTTCGCCGAAATCTGATCCTGGCGGTTGAAACCAGCTTAGTGATCAAACGGCTTTTTGTTGTTGACGTAATGAAATACAGCACATAAATTACCATGGTGTTTCTATTTTCAGACAAGTGCAATGTAATGTATCAGGAGTTAGACGTGCATCCAGGATTGGATTTTCCTCCGGAATTCCTTCCATTTCTCCCCAATATACCTTATTCTGGAAGCATTCCTCGACGCCTCGTTGCTTTGATTGCCACGCGTGTTGTGTTTCCGGAGGAGGAGTTGTTATCATCGTACTTCACTGTTATCAAATCGAGCTGAAGTATAGATTGTTGGAGTGGGTTATTCTAGTGATTTCTGGACAGACGGGTTTTATATGAAGGCATGTGTTGATTTTGATGAATCGTCTTCGCAGATTTTCGAAGGAGTTTCACGCATTGTTTAATCCTTACTTGAAAGTGATTAAATCATGTAAACTTGATGCGTTATTTTTTTAAATTTTCAGGTGCTCCATATTTGATCAAGTGCTATTTATTTTCCTCTGTTACCGCGTGAGCGACTTAGAAAATGAAGCAAATTTCTTGCCGAATCCGGAATTTTCCGACTAATTTGTTACTCTCGGAAAATTGCGAAGATCTGGAAAGCAAACTGATCTCCAACGAACGAACATCGCATCATAAGGTTAAGAAGTGTATTCTGCTCATTCCAGGTTTGTCGATTTTTTCAAGGTGTTATCCAAAGTACTTTCTTTCATAATTTTCCTCATCAGGCAATCCTGGAGGATTATCTTACTACACTCCATTTTGCGAACGTCTCGAGTCGCATTTGGATGATGATGTCAAGGTCCTTGCGATTGATCACTTCGGACATTGTAAAGTTCAATCTTGGGTTGATAGCATCAAAGGTATGATTGATGTTCACAGGTTTTGACATGATTTATTTTGTATGTATTGCTATTTTATAAGGAACCTTCAGTCCAGCAAGTTTGTCGGACCAAATGGACCACAAAAAGGCGTTTGTGGAAGACCACCTTCCCAGCGCCGAATCATTAGTGATAATTGGACATTCGATTGGTGCTTTGATGATGCTCAAACTGGTTGCTAGTTTGAAACAGAACAGCCGATTTGATTCCGTCTGTGGCATTGGACTTTTCCCGACGGTGGAGAGAATGGCAGATTCGCCGATGGGAAAGAAGATGACCCCTGTTTTTGCGTACCTTCGGTGGTTTGCTGTCTTTTTCGCAGCAATTTTTGCTGCACTGTTACCGAAATCTTTGAGATTAAAAACTTTGCGCTGGTACTTCGGACCGAAAGTTGAGGAAAATTCCATCATGGCAACTGATGACATCGCTTGCGCAAGAGCTGTCAGCGGAATTATGAACATGGCGCACTATGAGATGCGAGAGGTTTGTAAAACAGTTCAGTATTCTGTGATGAAACCTCCGGAAACGTAGCTCAAGTTTTATTTCAGTTGCAGTAAAATTTCGGTTCGCGTGATTTCAGTTGATGAATATTTTTGCTCGAGTCCGATGAGAATACTGTAGTAGCCTTTGCTGGTGCTTATGTGAGTGTTGTGAGTGACATGATATACCTAAACTTGTACCACAAAATTCTTGTTTCAGGTTGCCGAGCTTGATGTCAAGCTTATTGAAGATACATGCGACTCAGTATTTTTGTACTATGGCTCAAGAGATGCTTGGACTCCGAGAAGTTATTATGAATCTATAAAGAAAACAGTTCCAGGCGTGAAAGCAAAAATTTGCGATAAAAAATTTGCCCACGCGTTCGTCTTGAGACATTCTCTTCCCGTTGGTGATATGTGCGCTGGTTGGGTCAAGCAAATATTCGATGATCCAACGAAGGCTTTTGATATGATGTCGGAGTCAGGTGCAAATGAAGAAAAAACAGCGTGATGAATCGTGAATGTGGTTGATCCTTAAAGGGATTCTTGTTGTCTGTTGTGTTACATGATCGGGAAGAATCCATCTGAATTGCACTGAATTCTGTAGCTGAGAAGTGAGGACAACAAATGCGTTCTGCTTTTATTGAGTGGATTTCGAACGTCTCTTGAGATCTTTTGAAGTTATGGCTTCTCTCTGTCTCAGCGTTTTGTTGATGAGTTCTGTTTTATTTTCTTCACTTTCACGGTTGTGAGCCTTCCGATGTAATTTTAAATGATTTTGAGTTACACCTTCGTGCACTGAGATGGAACAATAAGTGAGGTACAGTTGTCGTCAAAGGTAGCATTGACAGTGTACGCACCTTTTTGACAGTTATTGTTGCTGTTATTATTGCCTGCGAAAATGAGCAGAGTGGCTTCTGCTGGAGCGAAAATAAAACTAAAATGTGTTACTGGAATTGAGATTTTTAATTCAGTATTAAAATAAAAGTTGCACTTGAAGTACAATATATGAAATCACGAAGTTCTGGTGTTAGTATTGAGAAGAATGTCAGTGTTCTGGGATGAAGTCACTCATTCTTCCCTAACCAAGTTGATGTGTGGGGCGGGTTTTGAAACTCATAACTGTATTATAATTGAAGATTATTGCACAGATGAGGATTTAGCAAAAAATTTATGATGTTGGAAGTTCTTAATTGATAGATATGATTCATACTGCTCTTAACGACTGGCAGAAGAAAAATTCTACGTGTTTAGATCAACAAATCTCCTTTTGTATTCTTAAATTTTGATTAGCTGATTATTTCTGGAGTTCATGTGTCGTTGAAACTCAGCAGTCATTGATAATAATTTCAAAGTTTATATCTGCTGGGGACTAAATATATGTTACACAATACTCATCATGCATTCAAATGTCTTCCATTAATGCATTGCTCACCAGTCCCTTCTTACAGGCAATGTACTGTACATAATACAGTACTTTCATTTTATGGTTCAGGTCAACCCCCAGCACACAATGGTCTTAATTTGTGCAATAGACCATGGTCTGTTATGTGAAAAGCCTGTTCTGCAAATTTGATTTCCTACTTGTTTACACTTATGCAAAATAAGCAAGATTATACAGTACAACCAAAAGAACTAAAAAAAGCACAACACATTCACAGCAGTAATAAAGACATTTTATATCCAAATTAAGTTGGGAAGCAAGGGGGACTTTGAGGGACTGAAACCCACTTCTGGCAGTCTGCACTTCTATATAGACAGGAGTATGTGAGAGAAAAACTGTTTTTAGAGTCAGTCTGTTCTGCAAAAATCTGTTGTGCAGGGGTTTACTGTACTGTATTTCATCATGAGTAACTAACTTGTCCTTGAACAAAGGGCGCCACCCATTGGCTGATAATGCATGGACGTTGATGGAGCAGATCAATTCATGAATATGTGCTAACAATTGCGCAGATGCTGGTGAAATAGAACAATCAGATGATACTGCAGTATTAGTGCCAATCCTATCCTGTTAGGATCATGAGACGCGGCTTCATCAGGATTGACACGATTGGCATACATGCTGGACAACTACCCAGGATTTTAAACGCGGAAGGTATACAATGCATCTACCTTTTAAACGAGTGACATCTGTAAACAAACTTTTTAGAGGTATCTGATGACACCTACTATTCATTCTGGAAACTACAATCGTATCCATGTTCTGACATCAGCTCCATGTACGAGAATTCGTTCGAGATTCAGATCGGTTTGTAATCTTCTTACGGTTGGCCGAGCTGAAGATAGTGTAATACTGTTCCTTGAAGAATTCACAGCGTTTGGCGAAATGTGTTGCCGCTTTTCGAACAGTGGTACTGATTGCAGTGGAATTTGTTTCACAACGTCCGTGAGATGTGACGCAGTCCCTTTACCTTGGGCATGGGTTGAACGATTTTGCCCCATGAATTTCAGCCGAAGGTTGCTCCGATTAGGACGTACAGTACCTTGTACAGTACAGTAATTGGTTTGAGTGTGGACGGTCCGCTTGTTGCATATGCATGTCAGTGGTTAAAAAACGTCGTTTTCCTTCGATAGACGATTTCAATTCGTCTAAACCAGGTATGAAACGTGTTGAATTCAACGCATTCTTACGCGACGGGTGGAACAAAGAATGGATCTTTCAATTCACCAATTGCCGAATTTTGAAAAATCATGATTTAGCGGAGGGGGATTTATTCATTCAGCATGGGGTTATCCTTGAACCAAAGAGCTTGTTTTATGGGAACAAAACTAAGGCAGATTTCAGAGTGGATTGCGGAGGGTCTATCTTATCGTATGGTTTCATCGATCTTCAAATAAATGGTGAGCGAATGCAGATTTAATTTAAGCTTTGTTGGCTTTTTCTTTGAGCCTGTTCGAAAAATACTTTAACAGGAGCATTCGGAGTTGACTTCTCAGATCTTACCAAAGATATTTCCGCCGGAGTAAAGGGAGTTGCTCAGAAACTTCTTTCGCATGGCGTCGTGGCGTTTTGCCCCACCATTGTCACGTCGCCTCCGTCAGTTTACCGAAAGGTTTGCAGTTTTCTCCGAATAAAATCGTTTGTCATCGACATAACATTTCAATTCAGCTGAGGAATTTGACAGAACTGAAAACTCGAGGAGGTATCGAAGGAGCAGCTGTACTTGGATTCCATTTGGAGGGACCATTCATATCTCCTCAAAAGAAAGGAGCCCACCCGATCGAATATATATTGCCGATTTCAAACGGGCGTATTACCGCACAAGAAATATTCGGTTCTAAACTAAGCAATGTGGCAATTGTAACTCTTGCTCCAGAGTTATCGGGATCCCTAGATGCAATTGAGTGGCTTTCTGGAGAAGGCGTGCTAGTCAGTTTGGGTGAGCTGCAGCTTTTTCGTTTTTTTTCTGCTAAAAATTTTAATATGGTTGGATTCCACAGTTTTTAAAATTGATTCGTTTGAATATACTGTATTCCAAAGGACATTCTATGGCGTCACTCACCGAAGCAGAAGCGGCTGTAAATTCTGGTGCTAGATTAATTACTCACTTATTCAATGCGATGCCCCCGGTAATTATTTCAGTTACGATCATATTTATTTTACTCTTATCAGAATCGTCAATTATTTTACATGGAATTTTAGTTCCATCATCGAGATCCCGGTCTAGTTGGATTACTGGCGTCTTCAAAGTTGGCTCCAGGAAGCAACGCATATTTTGGAATAATTTCTGACGGAATACACACCCATCCAGCGGCTATTCGCATAGCGTATCGCGCCGATTTCGATGGTAAATCTGAGTAATTCTAGAATTTCTGTGATCATGCTAAAGCAAACGTTAAAACAATCGTGTAAAGGACTAGTTCTGGTCACTGATGCGGTGCCCGCGATGGGACTTGACGATGGCGAGTATGAGATGGGCTCGTTGCATCTAGTTATCAAAGGAGAGCGTGCAACGGTTAAAGGGACTGAAACACTGGCTGGCTCGATTGCCTCTCTGGATATGTGTGTCAGGCGCTTTTTAAAATCTGCCCGTGAGTTGCGTATCTAGTTGATGAAAAAACCATCGTAATCTTACACGCTGCTCATCTGTTCGGAATTGAAATATTTAGGTTGTTCGGTGGTCGAAGCACTCGAAGCAGCCAGCCGACATCCTGCTGAAGCTCTTCGTCAGTACCCACGCATGGGAACGCTTGAACCTAGTAGTCAAGCCGATTTTGTGGCACTATCAGATGATTTGGATGTATTATGCACTTTCATCGAAGGTCGTTGTGTGTACCAGTCTCCTAGTGTCTCAGAATTCATAGTTTACGATCTTCGGGACTAGTATTCGTGAACAAAGTCTTTCTTTCGCTGAAACGGGTCTCGTTCGACGATACTGTACTATTTTCAATATTTCAATTCTGACGTATTACGAGTATCTGAATTAAGCCGCCCAAGACGCGTTATCTCTTAAGAAAACGAGTGTTTATGATGTGGCTTAATGACTTTAATTTCTGAACCGTCTCTTTTCCAGAATTGTTTATTTTCTTGTGATGCCCCATGCAGTATTTTTGTGATCGCGCGAACATGGGGCGCTTATTTTCGAAATGTTCCACTGCTCTTGCGTCGATTGTGTCGGTGTGCCTTTTTCTTGCCGTTAGTTGTGTTGACGGGCAGACGCGCGAGGAAGGATATTTCAATGGAACGGCTATTGTATCTTTTGAGCACCTGTTATCATTGGAAGCGACGACTTTGTTCAGCTTCCGAACGTGCCGTTCGGGAAGTTTCCTTTCTCAGTCTGGTTTGAGTGGGGATCGTATCAATCTCTATTTGAATGAGTCGGGAGACGTCGTTCTGGAGATTGCACGTCGTGGTGAACCTGAGATGGTGTGGTCAATACCAGGGGATTGGCGAGATAACAGATGGCATGTTGCTGGCTGGGAGTTCACGGGAAACTCCGTGTTTCTAGTAGTTGATGAACGGAGAGAGCTGATCACAAATCGAACCTTGGATGTTCATGTGATCTTTGATGTCCATCTTGCCGAAAGCGTGCCAACGGTCATTGTCGGGAAAGGACTCGACGCTTGTCTTCGCCAAGGACCTAACGTTGTCTTCGATTCGCCGAATGTTCAGAGCTTGGAGGTTGAGTGGGTGGAATGTCGTGATGTGATTCCTTATACTCAGTCTTGCGGTGAGTAATTTTCTCTTGGCTTGATGCAGTGATTTTAGAATTGCATAACTTGCAGATGGATTTGATACAAATCTCTGCTTCTTCGAGCCTTGTGCTCCGTACGGCAAGTGCGTTTTGGAAGATAATGGTGGGAACTATCGGTGCGTCTGTCCGATTCGCTACAGTGGACGGAATTGCGAAATAGATGGGGGTAAGTTTTTTATTTATCTCGAGTGTAAGCCTGCCGAATTATTTTGTATGAAAAGAAAAATATATTTTTACATTTTCTGCAATCAGAGCATCAGCGAAAAAAGAAATTTTACTCAAAACTTTTGGCGGAAGAAAAGGAGGAAAATTTCTTATTTGCACAAATTTCTTCCATGTTTCCAAATGGATAACGAAAAGGTTTCAACATACGAAAGACTAATTGAATGCGATGGTGGATAAGAAAATATATCTTATTCTTGAATTGTCAAAGATATGTACAGTACTATAATTTCTTCGTGTAATTCTTCCAAGTTGAAATGAATGACGATGCGTAATGCAGTTCGCCAGGAGGGAAGGAATAATTGTATTACCGATTTTGGAGAACGAATATGTAAAATGATTGAAAGCTTACGGAATGAAAGATTAGCTCTTCCAGCTGCACAAAAACGGGTCCCTTCGAGAAGAAAGAAAATATACTGAATCGCTTGAGGTGTGTGTTGCCAACTCACGGGTTTACCAATGCACATGCAGTATTGATGCGTGAAAAGCGGTAATTCAAGATGAAAATAAATTGAGCTTGCGATGTAACTTACGAAGAACTAATGCCCCATTATGACGGCATTGAAATTTTATTTTTTAGGGTCACTTTGTTCGCTACCCGAATATTCGTCCCAGTGCCAGAATGGCGGACAATGCGTCGAACAGCGGCACGGGGACAGTATTCGTTGCGAGTGTCCTTCTGGATTTTATGGGGAATTCTGTGAATACGGAATGGATCATGAGCATCCAGTATGCAAGACCATGACAATTCAGCTAGGAAAACCCGTGTGTGAGAACAACGGAGCGTGTGTCGATGACAGTTCAACAAAAGGCTACCGATGCGTGTGTTCCCCTGGCTTTTCGGGCGAGCATTGTGAAGAAGATATAGACGAATGCGCTGATTCTCCGTGCAATGTGGGTGCGACGTGCGTGAATGGCGACAACTCGTTTCGCTGTGAGTGTCCGACGGGTTGGACTGGTCCCACGTGCGAAGTTGACGTGAGCGATTGTGCGCGGCCCAAATGTGTCAACGGAGGAACCTGTTTCGAAACTTACGGAAGCTTTGTTTGCGGCTGCGCGCCGGGATTTTTCGGGCGGTTGTGTGAGAAACGGTCGGAAGTGATCGCGAGGGCAGAAGTGGCTGATCCGCCAAATATCGCTGCTGTGAGAACAAGCGCCGACGCCTGTAGAGGAACGGAATGTCCGTCCGGAAGTCACTGTGTAATTATTGATGATCGTGCTCGATGCGTTTGCCACGATGGATACACCGGTGAGTCTTATGAATTTTCTGTACAGTAGTTAAGTTCACTCTTGAGGTATCACATTGCTTTACTTTGAGCCCCGTATTCTTTTCGTTTGATTCTGATCGCTTGCTGTTGTGTTGAATGAAGTTGATCGTTATTTTAATTGCTTGGTATGTTTGAAGTCTTCGCGATGGGGTTTTTTTTTAAAGAAGTTTTGTAAGTCGCTTTGAATCAAATTGTTCAGGTTCTTCGGGCCAACTGAAGGCTCCTTCAATCCCTTGTGAGGTCAATATCAGAATTGGAATCGAGCTTTCATCCGTTTACCGATAACTTATTTCAATCGCTGCCCGGAATCGGGTAACTCTTAGCTCAGCCATTTACATTTTGAGGCAACCTGTGAATTCAGTAATATTGTTCTTTACTCCGGAAAAACGAGAGATCTAAACTCTTCAAGGCACAGTTATCAGAGCTTCGGCATTGTCTTCAAGAACAATTTTCCGTTTTCTTTTTGCGCAGCATTTTGCTGCAATTTGAATGCCTACAATTTTATTTAAAAACAAAATGCACGAGTTGCACTTTAACTTACATTCCTCGATGTCATGCCTTTTCAAATCGGACATTTCAGCCTAGATGATGAAAGAAGCGCTGTGGTCTGGAAATGATTAATTCATGGAAATAATCATGCTTAGCTGGATCCATCTGAAAAGTTCACCAATTGTCTGAGAAATCTCGTAATCAAACGTCGTGGAATAGTATGTTCTGGAAGGATGAAAATGCACCTTGGACGTAAAGCATGGAATAGAAAAGAAAAATTAAACGCAAGATTAAAATTTTCTTTTAAAAAATTGAGTAGTTTTTCTTTGCCTCAATTCTTTTCAATGGTCTAATTTTAGCGTAGCATCATTCAGTAGCTGATTTTTCCCTCTTGTAGGAGTTTTTCCGCATTGTGTTGCACTGAATGCTTGCAGTACCGCACCCTGTCTGAATGGTGGCACTTGTGAGGAAGACGACGAGTCTTTCAATTGCACCTGCACTGATGATTTCACTGGTGAGATTGCACAATTACTGAGCGCATAACATGGGGCGGTCGTTCGAAGTTTTTCCTGAAATTATTGCTTGTGGACCTTTCATATTCTTTGTGAATGTCATGCGGTTTTCCGTAGAAATTTTACTGGCATGTTTTACGTGTCTGGCTCTACCAGGTTTGTTGATTGATCATGAAGTTTGATTAAATCGTTGAATTTCGGATTTCACTTAGGCCAACTTTGTGGTGAGAGAAAAAGCCGATGCACTGGGGAAATCTGTCGCAACGGTGGAATTTGTTCAGACGTTGCTGGGCGTTTAGTATGCTCTTGTCCTGCCGGCTTCGAAGGGGAAAATTGTGAGATTGATATCGATGAATGCAGCTCATCCCCATGTCTGAATTCAGTTTCTTGCATAAATCTGGTAAGAATTTGGAAATATTTCAATGATCATAGTTTATTTATTAACTCGAATCCTTTTTAGCCTGGCTCATTTGCATGTACTTGCAAGCCTGGATTTACTGGTCCTCTGTGTGAATCTGAGATCGATGACTGCTTGTCTGCTCCATGCAAAAACGGTGGCTCTTGTCGAGACGGGGTAAACTCTTACGCATGTACCTGTCCTGCCGGATTTGCTGGTGAGTCTCGATTTTAGCTAAGCAGTCATTATTTTTCTAAGAAATGAATTTTCAACATTCGAAAAACTTCACGTTCCAGGAAATTCTTGCGACATTCCTGATCCATCCGGGGTGTGCACAGGAAAACCATGTGCTAACGGCGCTCCGTGTTTTCCGTCAAGTTTAGCGGATTACTATTGCGAATGTCCCGCAGGTATCGTAATCGAGTTGCAGGTTTTCTAAAAATTTCTCTAAAATTATAGAAATGCCAAATAATTTAGCCCAATTTTTCTCCGGAGAATCCACACGATTCATGCACCAACGACATTTTCAAAAGGAAAATAAACTCTTTTGTGAACTTCGTTCCCCTTCTCGACTTAATACTTGAAAGTATCCTAAGCTATTGTCCAACCGGTTATTCAGCGTAATCCAACAGACCTATTTTTTTAAATACTTGTTTCTCCTTCCATAGATGCAAAAGGCGTGGGTTTTTCAAGTACGAAATAAAACAAGCGCCAATTCTTTCCATATACAAACTCATGAACAAAAGGAAATGTTAGCCACTGTTTGTTGGATATCTATTTAGAAATCGAATTTTTAATTTTCATTCGTTTTCCGTGTTATAGGATTCGAGGGCTTGCATTGCGAGAACAATATCGACGATTGCTTGGGCGTGGAATGTGCGGATGGCTTGGTGTGCGTTGATCTGGTGAATGATAAAGAATGCCGTTGTCCCAAGGGATTCACTGGCCCACCTGCCTGTAAGGAAGATATCAATGAATGCTTGTCTAGCCCATGCAAGAACAATGGAAGCTGTGTGAATGGCATAGGAACGTACTCTTGTGCGTGCTTGTCCGGTTTCACCGGTCAGAATTGTGAGCTGGATTTGGATGAATGCGAAGTTCTTGAGCCGTGCGTTCACGGGATTTGCAAAAATACTGTCGGTAAGTTGGTATTTTGTAATTAACAAGCGGCTCAGGATCTATTTTCGTTGTTATATATTCTTGACATTTTTTAAATGTCAGAAAGATAAATGCGTCAAGTTTTTTTATGAGTGAAGAGCTCGATTACTGTTATAAATAATAAATAAATCAATGGACTTTCGATCTTTTTTAATCGTCATAGTTGCGCTTTTCTGTGTAGGCTCCTATCAATGTTATTGCCGTCCTGGGTTTTCTGGAAACAATTGCAACTTCGAATTCGATGAATGCCTCAGTCACCCCTGTCAGAACAACGGAAGCTGCAAAAACATCATTAATGATTACGAGTGCATATGTGCTCCTGGATACACAGGTAAGTGCCCTGAAGAAAATCGTTGCTCCTGCAGTTCAGTGCCATTATAGCTGCACCACGTTTTCATGCAAAAATGCCATACTTTTCAGGACACGACTGCGAGAAGGAGATCGACGAATGCGAATCGAATCCGTGCCAGAATGGGGCGACTTGCATAGATGGCATTGCGAAGTTTACGTGTAATTGTTTACCAGGTTTCACCGGCGTTCAGTGTGAAATCAACATCGATGAATGCGAGGTAGGAATATTTAGATTTTGTATTATTGCACTTCGTTTACTCGAATTGGGTATGTTCTTCCAATTTTTCCGACAGTCTTCGCCGTGCTTAAATGGTGGGATGTGTGTAGACCAAATAAACGCTTTCGTTTGCAATTGCTCGGACACTGGATTCGACGGTGAAAGGTGTGACCACAACATTGACGACTGCTTGCCGAATTCTTGCCTTCATGGGTCTACGTGCGCTGACGGGATCAAGGATTTCACGTGTGCCTGTCATCCTGGCTACACTGGTCAGTCAGTGTCAGGTATTAAATTCGACACCGTTTAACTTTATTATTTTTTAATCAGGAAAAAACTGCGAAGTGGATATCAATGAATGTGAATCGTCTCCGTGCATGAATGGTGCATTTTGCTTGGAGAGGTCCAACGCATCCTTGTACCAAAGCAACTTCCGGGGATTGTTCGATTCTTTTTCGTATGAAACTGCTGCAGGCTATTTTTGCCTGTGTCTCCCGGGTTTCACAGGCCCAAAATGTGAGACGAATATTGACGAATGCGCATCCAATCCTTGTCAGCATGGTGAGTTGATTTTCTGTTTTCAAAATGTACTACTTGAGTAATTACCGTGCCCAAATTCTTACTCATTGGGATGAACCAAAGGGACCTGTAAGAGTCGATTTTGAATAATTTATTTTTCTTTAAACGGGCTAATTACTGTATCTGGGCTAATGTACCTCTACATCTGCGGGAATGTTGTATTATTATGTCTGGTCATCGCTGAATACCTATTTCACGCGTAAGATTTTTTATGCCCGAGTAAGTTCATCTGGGATACTTTCCTTGGTTGATGGTCTGAGTCATAAGGCCGATTAATCGGAGTACTGTGCTACTTCCTGAGCTCCTTTTTTATTTGACGTTGAACTTCCGGATTCCGTGGAAATTTTTTTGCAAGAATAAATAATTAATGTCTTCGGATATTTACAGGTACTTGCGTGGACGGTGTGAACCGTTGGGAATGCAAATGTTCCCCGGGTTACGAAGGTGTCGCATGTGAAAAAGAAATAGATGAATGTCAATTATGGAATGCTTGTGCGGGTGGTTCCACGTGCGTGGATTTGGTCGCCGACTACCAATGTGTGTGTGCTGAAGGATCTGGTGGTAAAAATTGCTCCGTGGTGCTACGAGGTTGCGACGGAGTTGAGTGCCTAAACGGTGGAATTTGCTTGCCATATTTGGTTGGAGAAATTGATCATCGCTTCAACTGCTCTTGCCCGCATGGTTTCCGAGGGACGTTCTGCGAAACGTCCACAACCATGTCTTTTCAGGTAACTGTTATAGATTCGCATTGATTAATCCCATTTATATCGCAGGTTATTGTAAGTGTCGTTTTCGGAACGTCTATGTCTTTGTTGGGTATTTCCGCCTCTAATTGATTGCCTGACGATTATTTACAGAATAATTCGTACATCGTCGTCAATTCTGAGAAAAAGGATGGCTATGAACTTCGTATGCGGTTCAGAACGACGCTTTCGGATGGTTTACTGGCCATTGGGCAGGGAGAAACCTATTATCAACTCAGCCTCCACCAAGGTAGACTGAATCTGCAAACGAGCTTATTGAATATCTTGGAGGGAGTGACGGTCGGTGATGGACTGAATGACGGTGAATGGCAAGTTGTGGAACTAGTTTTCAATTCGAGCCACGTGACTTTGTCGGGAAGCGAAGAAGAACGATCAAATTCAAGTTGGAAAAGTGTCAATCCGAATTCACCTATGGACGTGGCCAGCAGCAGCCCTCGATTCCCACTGACTGTTCTGGGAGGTTTCACACCGCAGTTGAGGAACCTCGCGAAAGATTCTTTCCTGACTGGTTGCATGCAAGACGTTTGGTTGAACGAAGAATGGCTTTTTCCGATGAAGATAGAACGGGCATCCATTGGGTGTCCTCGAACAAAGCAATGCCAGCCGAATCCTTGCGAAAATTCCGGTGTGTGTCAAGATTTGTGGTACAGCTACGAATGTTCTTGCCGACGACCACATCTTGGCAAACAATGCCAGTACAGTAAGTGGCTCAATTCTATTGTTGCATTATCTCTTAATCAAAATCAAATACATTTTAATGCTTCAAGTTTTCGCTTTTTCTCGCCGAAAAAAAAACTATAACTATTGTACGGTCTTTTTCGTGCGCTCAATGTTCGTCAAAAGTTTCAAATTAGCTTTTGGAAAATTGATTTTTTCTGCACCTTTCTCTGTATACTCTATTCACTTCCGGCGATGAACAGTGTGAGTAATATTTTATTCCGCTTGTGGTCCATCGCTAGGCCGAGTTCCAGGAACCTTTGGATACCAGAGTGAATCATCAAGCATGGTTTCAGTTGAAGTTCCGGTCTCAGTGCGCCCGAAATACGCAGAACGAATTGAATTTTCCATGTTCATTCGAACGCGGGAACCGAATGGGCTACTTTTTTATGCTGGTACTTTGCCGTCGCTCGCGGTGTTCCGCGATCCTACGCATATCGTACTGAAACTAAATGAAGGAAGAATCATGGCGTTGGTACAGTTGGATGCGTCGGAAACTCAGCATGTAGTGAAAAAGGGGCCTCGGTTGAATGACGGGGAATATCACCTTATAAAGGTAAGGTTTCCTTTAATTTTTATGCCGTAAAATCTTCAGATCAGATACTAATTATGTCTCGAATTTCAAAAGTTTCTTGACATGAGTTTCGTGAAGATAAATTCAATGGATAATCTATCTCAATGCCGTAGGGGTTTTCATTTCGCAAAGCATCGAGATTAACTTTTATTAATTTTTTCGATTCAAACGAGATTTCTCCGACGTCTTACTTCGACGGCTTCAGAACCCGCTTGTTGTCTTTTTGTGTCGATTTCTTTTTCGTGCGATTGTGCTCATGCAAAAATCATCTTAATTAGCGTGAATCAAAGCTGCAGTTCTTCCTTGGCTGCTGAAAATTATATCAGTAACTATTTTTATCGTGAAATTTTAGCTCGCACGTGATGGAACGATGCTGATGATCTTCATTGACGAAGTACTGAGACTGAACACGACTTTAACGGTGACTCGACCGTTGGAAACTGAAGTTATATACGTGGGAAATATGCCGTCGTTGTTGGAAGCGACCACCGAGGAAAATGCAATCACGACGATGATTTCTGACGGCCGCCCTGTCGAGACCGATGACTCATCTCCCTTTGCGCGGCGACGAAAACGGCAAACTAGCAATGCTCTAGTGACGAGGTTCAAAGGAGTTATACAGGATTTTCAGATCAGCGACGGGGAGGATGTTCGATTGATTCAGTTTTTTCCCATTGAACGGGGAACTACTTCCGAAAACGACATTTCTGCGGCGAATCCAGAGCTGTTGCCAGTTTTGGGGAATCCTGCGCTGACAGCTGTAAGACCAGGAGTTGTTCTGGACCCGTTGTGTGACTCGAACCCTTGCATGAACAATGGAACCTGTTCTTTGCTGTTCGGAGACTTCGCGTAAGAGTTTTAGAAAATCAGTTCATAGCATTTGATACTTTATTACTGTATTATAACTTTGTGCATGCGCATTATAGCTATATGAGTGTTAAGCTTTAAAAAAAGTTCGCTGTCCTTCGAAAGACATCGTGCTGTAAGCTAATTTGTTGAATCACTGACCCATAAGAAAAATCTATCCATAGCCAGATTTTTATTTCAAAGTGTGACGTGGATTATTCCCCCCACCCCTTATATCATTCTTCATCTATTAAATAACCATATAATCGAAGCATGAACTTTCTCTTATGATTTTTTGTCTGATATCACGTGTGAGTGTTTGATGTGCCTGCGTTTATTCTTTTCCCTGTATGCAAGGTCGCCAATCAATTTTTTCATTAGTATTCGTCTTTAATTAATTTGTTGAAAGATAATTCGATATTTTATATTCGCAGGTGTAATTGTACGGAAGGTTACAAGGGGAAGCGTTGCGAGAAAATAAAATATTGCAGTCTTTCTGCAACATCCTGTCCCAGAGCTTCGGAATGCCGAGATTTGGAAGATGGTTACGAATGCGTCGCAGTCGCCACGTTCAACGGCCGGAATAGTTCATTAGCGTACGAGCTTTACATTGATGAGCGTCTTTCGATGGACTTGTGGAACAAAGCTCCGACTGAAGTTGACGTGGATCTCAACTCTGTATCGTTTTCTTTCCGTACCACGGATGGCGGACCCGTTCTTCATGTCAGTGATGCGAGATACACCTTCATTTTCATCGTGAAACCGAACGGGGCGTTGGAATTACAAGCTAATGGACATTCAGCCATCGTTTTGGTCAATAATTCCGATATCAAGTTCGGTGAATGGAACATGGTTAAGTTTGACTTCATGCATCCTGGAGACAATGTGACCGTTGATGTTCAAGTCAACGGGGATGAGCTGCCCCAGATCGTAATTCCTATCGACGTGGGAATGGGACAGTTGACGAACATGATCCGATCCGGCGCTGGTATTTTCGTTGGAACGTCTGGGCACTTGCCTAAAGCCGGTGGGCCGTCAGGTGCGTTTCAGCGATTATATAAAAAGTTGCTTTCACAACGACCGACTACAGGGGAAACGAATATTTGTAGAAATGAATGCGTTTCAAAAGAAAAGCTTGTGCATAAATAAAATATCCTTAATGGGATTCCTTGTATGGTGAATATCACAGATTTTTTTGTTTTGACGGTCGACGTGTACACATTACTGTGAATCTCTTGAAATTGTACCGGTCTTCTGTTTATTTTCATTTTTCAAGAATACGTTGGGTTTATTTGAATACTGTATGTACAGTTTTGCAGGGTAAGCAAGAAATTTTAGGGCACTGACCCCAGTAAATTTTTGTGCCAGTCTTGAAATTTCAGTATTACTGTACGAGAAAAAGGTGAAGTTGACGAAAATCATCGCCTGTTTTGACATTATATTCCCTAAAAAGTCAATGTTAGCTGTATTGATCTTGCTTATATTACTTAAAAAAAAAGGTAATGACTCACGATTAATTGATTAGGGCCGAGTTTTAACGGGAGATAATTTTGGTGTAGGAAGTACTGTACGATGTAATTCAAGTCTGAAAATTGTGTTCGTGCTAACTTTTTTAGTCATACCATTAGATTTCAGATTACTGTAGGTGATTTCCCTAGGATTCCTGCGTTGAATGATTTTATCTTGTAATATTTCATGCTCTTCGTTATCCAGGTGATCTCGACGAGGAAGAACAATCCACGAACGACTTCACCTATTCAATTGTTCGCGACCGAGATTTCTCGGACACTGGTGACGTACAGATTCATGCGAGTGATTCGCATTCAGACCCGCATTTTCGTGGATGCCTGAACGAAGTTAGAATCGGTGGAATTCTTCTGCCGGTGTACAGCAGCGCAGAACTCGGAGACGTTGCAGCGCCTGTACAGTTCAGAATAACCCGAGATGGATTCTCCTTTGTTCGCCAGTCCGAATGTGTGCTATGTTACGACGCGGAATGCAGAAATGGGGCGAGTTGCGAAGACGCTGTCAACAATTTCGAATGTCGGTGCAGCCTCGGGTACGAAGGGAGGTACTGCGAAGTCAATATTGACGAATGTGCTCTGGGACACGATTGTGGCGAGCATGGAGCCTGTGTGGACATGGTCAACAGCTACAAGTGTGACTGTGATCCCGGCTGGGAAGGCGATCGTTGTCAACACGAAATTGACGAGTGCCAGTCGGGGCCGTGTCAAAATGGTGCCACGTGTATTGATCGGTTGAATGGATACAGTTGCGAGTGTACGGAAGAGTATACTGGGAAAGACTGCGCAGAGCTGAAAATCAAGAACTGCTCACATTTCCCTTGTAAAAATGGGGCCACGTGTGTCAATATTTATGGTAAGTGAAGCGCAGTTGTTCTGCAGTTCTTAACGACCGTGTCGACAGCTATGTAGGATTTAACAAAAATGCCAATTAATGTACATTCATGTCATAAATACTTGATTATGCACATTTTTCGTAAGCCGCGATAAATGGAGGAAAACTATTTCACTATTTGAAGAAAGAAATAGAAATTTAATTGCGGTCATGATAAAATTATGTTGCAAATTTTAGTCCACTTCTTAATTTTATTGACGAGGATTTGACACGATGTCGGATGATATGCATTATCTCCGAGCAAAATAATTTTGCTAGTTTTTTCCTTATGAATGCATTTGAATGAAATCGGTCGTGTTTATCCTCTCAGATAAATTCGGCAATCCACACAATTATTCCTGCGAATGCGTGGACGGGACCGTTGGAAACAATTGTGAACTGATCATCGACCAGTGCAGGACGTCCCCATGCAAGAATCAAGGAACCTGTTTGGGTCGGATTGGGGTATAGTTACTGATCCTTTCAATTAGCATCTTATCTTTTAAATTTGCGAAATCGTTTTTGCTTTTCAGTATTACAAATGCTCTTGCTTCGCTGGATATACTGGGAAAAATTGTGAGATCGATATTGACGATTGCATCGATGCTTTCGGGGAGCCGGTGTGCAAAAACAACGCGAATTGCACTGACTTGATAAGCGGATTCCGTTGTAAGTGCGCCAAGGGATTCCGGGGTTTGCAGTGTACCGAGGATATCGACGAGTGCAAATCGTACGTTTGTGAAAACGGCGGAACGTGTGAAAATCGACATGGTGATTACGTGTGCCACTGTGCGGAGGACTTGTGTGGACCGCATTGCGAATACAATAATCCCTGCATGACTGTAAGGTTTATCTAGAAAATCAGAGCAATGAGATTTTCCTGAAATTTGCTCCAACACTAATTAATTTATTTTTTATTTCTTGAAACCAGCTGCCGAAGGAACGAGCCTGCAGAAATGGCGGGATTTGCGTTCCAGATTGCCTGAGTCCCAAGCACCTTCACTATCGGTGTGACTGTAATTCGTCGTACGCAGGGGATTTATGTGAACATGAGGTAAGAATTTCGTATCCACGTGAGAAGCTCAAGCAAAATGTATGCTGTGCGAAGTTCCTCTACCTCAATGGTTGTAGAAGACCTTTTTTGCAGTCTAACGAAAATACAAATTCAAGAGAAATAGATTCTTAGATGCAAAGAACTTCTTGATGAGTCAAGTGCATTCCGTTCATTTGAACTCTGAGCCGATTTTAATGAAGGATTTTTTATTTTCGCCTCGGATTCGATTTCACGCTGGAATACTCTGCTAGTTTCCTGGGATTCCGTGTTTTTGGTACTGAAATGGCGTGTAACCAAGTTTTCAAGTTCTTGTTTTCTTCATCTTTTGTTCCACTGAAATTGACCTGGATTTGTATGGATGTGTATTTTTTAGGTTGTGGAAGTATCTGGTGCAGGACCAGGGAAGATAGTGCTGATATCGGTAGCAATCTTGGCTGCCCTATTCTTCATGGCTGCAGTCGGCCTCATCATGTTCATCATGATGGCGAGGAAAAAGCGAGCTACTCGAGGGACATATTCCCCGTCGAGGCAAGAAATCTACGGATCGCGAGTGGAGATGGGCGCTGTGATGAAGCCGCCGCCAGAAGAGCGCCTGATTTAGATGAAACTTGGCAGCATCGCAATCCTTCAATGAGCTTCTTCCACCTGCGCTTTGTAGGAAGCGGTTGGAAACATTTCATATTATTTTTTTCCTGTTCTTGCTCTAGTCGTGTTCTTCGGTGGGAACAAGAGCCTTGCGCTCGTTTTTTGTTTGTTTTTTAAAAACTTGGACGGACTTGGACTCATGATCTTGCTAATAATCGTTAGGCATTATGTGTGTCCAATCGTCTTTTTTGTGCATTTTCGCCGTTTGATCCCCGTTGCAAAAGATATTTTTTGGCATCTAGCAAAATCAGATTTAGCTGTGTTCAATGTATGTATCGCTCATCTGTTCACTGCGCTCACTACTTTTTTATTGCCATTTTTGAAGTGAAGGAATTGACGGGAAGGGCAGTTGGTAGGATGAGGTTCGCCTTGTTCTTCGTTTGTTTTGACGAGTTTGTTGGAAAATTTTTTCGTTGAAGGGACGTTATGTGGAAGGGCTGTTTGATCTGCTCGTTCTTGATGCTTCGGCTTTATGGATCATTTCTGAGTTGAAAATTGTAAGCGCTCTTTTTGTTCTTTTTCTTTTTTTAGTGTACCGGTGTTATGATCGCAATTGCGCATGATGATTAATTTGTTTTTCAATTTGGTCGTGGCTTCATGATCCGTCCAGTGCCACCGAACTTCAGTTGAAAAGTTGAGCGAATGAAGGAATTGCAACGTGATGGAAAGTTCAGTAGTAATTCGGGTATATGTGAGAAGGAAAGGTTTGCCGTCCGTTGAAGTGAAGCGTGGATGTAACCGTAATGTTGATATTTATAGCGTAACTTGGAGTGTCATTCCTTGAGACAAGTTTTCCAGAACCACTTCCTGGGGGACGGAGAAAGTTGGGCCGCGATTATTTTGATCTCAAGCTTCGCGGCCTCCAGGTTGTTGTACTCCACCGGGGGGGGTTTTCAGTATTTTTTAGCCGCTTGCTTCCGACCGGGGTTTTTTTTTATGCTGATGAAAGTGTTGTGAAACGTGTTTTTCCGTCCAGGAGATTCCATAGATGATGTTGAGTGAAGCGTATATTTTGATCAAACAAAGTTAAACCAAAAGTTTCGCCTTAGAATATGTGGAAACGGCAGCAACGAATGTACATATTATCAGCATTGTACGCTATTTTCCCTCCATTTTTTATTTGCCAAGGGTCCATGTCCTGTACAGGAACACGAAAATGCTTTACGGAGTCACGACGAGTGTGTGGTACGTTTACTGTAAAATTCGTTGCGCGTGTTGTCCATTCTCGCGGAGATCTGATGGACGAGGCGAACATTCCTCGGAACTTAGGACTAGGCATGCTATTTTAAGCTGAGATGATCGTTTCTGTATGGGATTTGAATGGTGTTTGTCACCGGAAAATTTTAAGAAATAAAGCTGCTCATGGTTTTTAATCGAAAAAAAAACGCGTGATTTTTTTTCAATATTTCCGATGTATGATCTCGTCGTAGCATACAATTAAAATGTTCTATATTGCTGGGTCGACTATTCCTTCGCCTTTATCCTGTTAAATTATATTCCTCGAGGATGCATGAAAATGTCTCAATGTTACTGTACTAAAAAGTCGAAAAAATATTTTATTAAAACCCACTAAAAATTGTGTACCCACTTTTCTTATTTTTTAAATTGAAAAATAAGGTATTGCTGTACATCTAGCATATTACAACAAAGAGAAAGTCGTAAGAACTGTGTGAGAATCCAAGAATGGTGGAATAGTAAGACAAATTAAGAAGAGGAGTTTACCTAATACCTACACATTTTCGGCTTTGAAAAAATGTTGCCATTTATGACGTGAAATTCTTTCAATATTATTTTGAAAGAATACAAATGCAATGAAAGTCGACGATATTTTCAAGATACAACATAACCTCAGAAAAATGATTTTCGATCAATCAATATTCTCTGTATTTCCCCGCCTTCAACTTACACATACGAGTACAACCTGGCCTTTTTTGTTTTGTTATCGACCCTTTCTCAATTTGTGACCTCAAACAAACAAACAAACAACAAAATACAATCAATCATTTCGTGCACCGAATCGTCGAGAGAATGAAAACAGCAGAAAATAATTCCTTCCAAGTTTACGTGCATCGTTTTTAAAATTCCCTGACAAATTCTGAATTAAACGACGAGGGTTGTCTTTTCTCGCATGAATTCAAGAACAGAATAATGTACAATTAATTGTTGAACATTCTTCTTAAATCAAATTTCTTTTGAACATTCACGGATGTAGACCTCTACGCAGAATATTTTTGCATTTCAAGGACTCAGTATAGTACCAACAATATGCGTACTTTATTGCAGAACATTTTTAAAGGAACATTAAGTGATTCTCAATTCAGGCATGGCTGGAATAATAGAAGAAAACCAGTGATAAATAAACACAATTTCCTTTTCGTGGATGTTTAAATTTCAGAAAATCATTCCATTTTTAAAAGTAAAAATAAGGAAATTATTTAGTCTTGAATGTTCGAGCCAAAACTACAAAGCACCGCGAACCAGCAGTAATATTGTGCTTTATTGTTCATAAAGGGTGTGTTATGTACACTTTTTAATCAGAAAATGCTACATAGTTGTAATATGCCTTCAATCTGAAACACAGAAATCGACGGAAATATACTTGAGCACACTACATAATATGTACCTCAGGGCGTTTAGGCGATTCTCAGCCATGCCTATAATGTATATAGACACTTAAAAAGTTGTACTGTATATTATGTAAACCGGAAGAAATATTAATAATTCATGTTTTCATGCAGTCATTTAGTTTCCTTTTCAAACTCTTCAAATGAAAAATCCCGACAACCATCGTAACTGCAATAGAAAGGAGTCATTTCAGGATTATCGCAATGACTCGAATATTGGCTCAACAAATCATGGATTTAACGAACATATTTTAGTCTTAAGTTCTAAGGATAAGCACAAGATTTTTTCGAATGTTCTGATCAACGAAATACATTGAATAAACAAGAGTCTAGAATTAAATTATATCCGAATCCATCCCAGTATATTTAGTAGTTCTATTACACCAAGAGTTAAAAACCTGATTTACTTTTGAAATACAGTATTTGAAATTATTTTACTGAAAAATAAAGCATAGGTAGAATCAGCATTCTTCCTCTGAAATTCTGAAAACAAAACAAAAAGTATTTGACGAAAGTGCGTCATACATTCGCAGGCAAAATTGCTTTCATTTTGGCGTCTGAAATTCGAGTAAATTTGGTATCAACGGTGCTGCGCCAAAAAGGCAAAAGCAAGAGGGAACAAAGCAGAATGGAAAGGGGTATTTTCGGGTGGGTGAAATCGTGTGAATTCAGCCCAAAGAAGAGGCGGCCGGATGGTAAGGGTGCGTCGGTGCTGACGAGAAGTCGTGTCGGAGACGTGGGAAGGTCGTCTGGTGGTGGTGATGGTGGTGGTGGAGCGACGACTGCGGCGACCCCGGACTGGCGAATGCGTAGCTGCCACCGAACATGAACTGCTGGGCAGCTGCCGCCGCCGCCGCAGACGTGGGCTGGTGGTGATGCTGACCGGTGGCGGCTGCAGCTGCGTAGCCCGTCGTCGACGCCGCCCCGAACAGCAGGTCGTCTGAGGAGGACAAAAGAAAAACATGCGTCCAGTCTTGATTCGGATTCATCACACAAAATACACACATCAAGAACCGATTTTTCTGCATAAATAGCACACACTTTACACATGCTTGATTAGCATTATTATTGATTAGCCCTCCAGTAACTCCCGTAATCCGTGTACTCGGATCCCACTGCAAATTTCAAACCAATTTTACGAAGTTATTTTGGCACAAGTTTTTGTCAGCCTTCAAACTCTGTACTGCGTAAGCTTGTAGTGTACAATAATGCTGAAAAATATTTAAATAATATTTAATTTTTTAAATATTAATGACTATATTGAAGCCTTCAACAGTTTTTCTGGTTTCTGAGCAAGTCTTCTGCTTGACTGATTCATCTAAATTTAAAAGATTCGCACGGTTTTCAGACACATCCCAGAAAACGCGCAAATAACCCTATAATGTGGGTCTTACACATACTGTATATTGTATTTCAGTCTGAGAATTCATTTGATATTACCCTTTTTGGATCATCTTTTTTCTGGAGGAAATTCCCAGGCTTCGTTAATATTCAGGTCAAAGTTCCACGAAAATATCCTTCTCTTGCTTCAGGATTTTATAATTTTTTTTTACAACTTCATGACGTATACTTAATAAAAACCTATGACTCAAAGAAACTTCAATTGTCTATTTTACGAAAGAAGCACTGCAATGCAATCAATTATATAGAGTCAAAACTTTTCTAGTCAAACTTGATGGAAAAACATAAAATTCAACTTTGAGAGTTCACAAATCAGGTAAACCAGCATTTTTGCTGAATAAAGAATTAAAGGATTAGTGACACTATGGGCTTTGAACTGCTGCATAAAAGAATTGGTAGGATAGTTTAACTCGCAGTATAAATGGTACTTTCGCCCAATTAGTCAATTACGTCCTTTTGTAAATCATTGTTACGATTTTATTGCTCTTCTTCTTCCTGGGTCCTCGAATTAATAGCGCAAGGGCCACCGAAAATTTGAGACTTATGGGTTTCAGGGGAAAAGTCTCCATTATTTGTTTATGTAAGGGAACGCAAAAAGAGACTAAATAAAAAATTTGAATTAAGTATGGCTGACTTAGCAAGGTCCATCTGTATTTACTCAAGTTCTCCCTCGCTTTATTTTTTTCTTTGGAGGTCAGAGTTTCTGTATTACAGGTCAGAGTAATGGAGGTCAGAGCATTCTGTATTGGGGGTCAGAGTTTCTGTATACTGACTAATTTGTTCAGTGACGGTTTTCAAAGACATACGTTTTTTTTTTTACAGAAACTCTGACCTCCGAAGAAAAAAAAAACGCATGTCTTTGAAAACCATCACTGAATAATGGCTCATAGTGTGCCATTATTTGCAAATTAATTTTCTTAGTGAGTATCTATTTACTAAAAAATAAATTCTTTAAAAGTCTTGTACCTGGGACAGCATTCGTGGACATCATGGGCTGACCAGTCACACCGACAGAATCGTTGACAACCCCAAAAGCAGCTGCTGCAGCGTTGGACGCCACCAAGAATTGTTGGTATGCCGACGTACCTGCTGCAGAATGCTGTCCAAGGGCTTGATTAGCCCTCCAGTAACTCCCGTAATCCGTGTACTCGGATCCCACTGCAAAATTTCAAACCAATTTGACGAAGTTATTTTGGCACAAGTTTCTGTCAGCCTTCAAACTCTGTACTACGTAAGCTTGTAGTGTACAATAATAATGCATCACTGCCGACGATCCGAACGTGAATAGAACCACCAATGGAAATCATCAACACTGAAAGATTGAATTGCTTCAGATAGAAATGAACAATAACCAAAATATGCAGCGAGTTTTTAGTAGATTTTTAAATATTTGAGGTGCTAAATGTTGGCCCCAAAACTCGAAAATACAGTCAATCATAATTTAGGACACTCTGGAGCCAACTTTCCGAACCACATTCTTTCACACAAAATGCAGAATCGTTTTCCTTATAATTGTTTTAGATTAAGTGAAATTTGGGAAGCCATGTACAGTATTGATCCCAAATTTGCGCAGATTTGTTGATTGTTCAACTGAAAAGAATGAATTCAACGCATTTGGTTCCTTTATTCAAGAACTGAAAACATTGCGTTTCTGTCATGTGATAGACTTCAACGTTTTTTGTTGATTTCTTAGTTTTTCGTTGATTTCTTAAAAGGAAGAAAATGAATGACTGCTGGCTGCTTCGTAATTTTCTGCCTTTCATTCTTCATTTGTGGCGAAATTATAATATCCAGCAGCAGATCATAAATGGGAGGGGAAATGAAAAAAAAAACTTGTATTTCTTCATTTGCGGCACATGTTCATATCCAACCGTATACAGTAAAATCTTGTCACAAGACATTTTTGGGGACTTCGAAAAAGTTTATATACTGATGGTTATGGCAAGATTTTCTGACTTGACGACTGGGGGAAAAAATTCACATCAAACCTGTCAATAATCAAACATTGCTCTCTGGCATTCTCAGATCTAGTTTTATTATTGTTTAAAATACTGTGCTGAAAATGTTCTAAAAAAATTAGCGGGAATCAGTCATTCCATCAGTTGCACCAATCTCTTCATTCTGGGAGGTTGATGTGTGGAACCAATTAATCGGAAGCATGCTTATCATTGATTCCAGTTTCCATCCATGCTACAAGAACCAGTCAGTCACATTTTGGATCTAAAAATTCAGAGACTGGACAGAGAAAGATTTCTGCCTCAGTCTGGCAATTTCTATCTGGAGAAATAAACATTCCTCAAAAAGTTTTTTCTTCTGGTAATTTTGTTATATTGAGATTGTATCAAGGTGCACTCTGCAAGCTTTTCTGTCTGGACTTGTGAGAACACGTTTGTTGTACTGAACCATTTGTTAATGTGCTGTATATATGCTCTATTTTTAGTTCGGAACTCCAACGTCCGAAAGTTTGAGCATCGTAAACGGTTTTCGATCAGCTCATGATCCGCAGTTTACTCCGTTCGCTCTTACGGTATTTATTGTAACGAAATGTTACTGTATTTATAAACTGTGTTCATAAAAAGGGGGGATAGGGGTCAAAGATAACTCACTGTTGTACTGATGAGTGATGAGTGACGAAGCCGTCGTGGTTCTGGGTAAAATCGGCTGCTCAATGTTGGGCGGCGGGGATGAAGTCGAGGCGGTGGAAGCTGAGCTGGATTCCGTGTTCCCGGACCCGAACAACTTCACCTGACTGCGCTCCCTTTGCGCAAACATGCTGCGCTCGTTCCGGCGGAACTTGGCTCTCCTGTTCTGAAACCATACCTGGCAGAACGAGCAGAAAAACGTAGGATTTTTTTCAACAAATCACTGAAAATATATGATCCAGAAGGAAATACAGTACGTTATTTACTCAAGTACCACACGCCCTTGAACAATCAAGACACGCCCTGAGGTTTTCAATTGAAAATTTTGATAAAATCCGATCTCTCCCAGTGAGGTTCACTCCTCATTTTTAGTGACACTAAAACCACAATAAAGTCAAAGCTCTCTAAGTAATCTTTCAAGGGAACGGCAAACAATTTGACTTAAAGAGGTTTTTGAGTTATGGAGGTTTGAGTGATGGAACCAAGACTTTTTGTTGTGAGAAACACAAAAGAATTGCATGAAATTGTAAATGGTGATATTCTAACCCTTAAATTGCTTCTTGAATGAGTTGAAAGTGCTTAACTTGGAGGGAGGGGTTCATTTGCGTTATTCAGTCTTTCACTTCCTTTCAAAACACATCAAATTCTGTTTTTATTGCTTTTTTCTTTCCCCTGTCAAGAAAATAATAGCCAAAAGGCCCAAGAAAATTTGACTTACAGAGGTTTGATAGGAAAAGCCTTCAAGTTAGAGGGAGGATTTTAATGTGTTGTTTCCAAGGGAATTCAGACGGGGACTTGAAAAAAATTTGAATTAGGGAGGTTTGCGTTATTAAGGTTCAAGTGTATTTCTGAAAAAAGAGAAACCAAATTTGAATTTAGGCATGAAATGAACAGGAATTTGACTAATTTTTCCTTTAAAACGATTTTTTTTAACTTGATCAAAAATGTCCAATTAGAATCGTTTCAAGTAAAATATGAATTTCTAAAATCTTTTGAAAAATGTATACCCAACTATGACACTAAACTATGACTATGACAACTATGACCCTTTTCTCCTCTTGACTTTGAGAAAACAAGGTGTGCGTTGTATTTGATTAAATACATGTGGACTCTCTCTATAACAATCTTGTCTACAATGATTTTCTTTATATAATTTATCTTTTGTCGTACCCGCTAAGTTTCTCTCCCCACCTTACACAGGGTTCTCTTGAAGGAAATTCCCTGAATTTTCTGGTCCCTTCTTCTGGTCCCTTGAATTTTGTTGTAGACTAGTGTCGAGAGCATCAAGTCCACCTTTATTCATTATTGTGATATCGTTTTGGAAAAATGCTCGAATCAAAATTAACCAGCACCTCCTGCAGCTGGATACACTTTCGCAGGCGCAAGTGTCAAATAATTGCATTAATTTCTCTAATTAACTCATACGCTTTTGAATAAGCTTAAGCTTCTGATTCGATCATGCAGTTATCAGTTTTAAATCATCGTGAGAACTTAAGAAGGCATATTTTTTTCGTTGTCGAGTTAAGGTCTTTCCGTAATATACAAGACACTTTTAGACACGTTTCTCATGGTTTAAAAAAATCTTAGATGAATACGATTCATCTGTCATATATAAAATGACTATCAGAACATTTGACAAAAAAAAATTCGAGACAGAAAATGTGTCTGTCGCTGGTTTGACTCTGGGGCTTTTTGAATAAAATTAAAAGATTGTTAACGATCAATTCCGGAACAGAACACGTTGATGACAATCTGTCCCAGAAAACAATTAAAACGAATGACATCGAACACCAGAATATGGACCAATTTGATCATAAGATACTAGTGGAGCTATAACAATTTTAAAAACCTTCACATCCTGCTTCATGAATTTTATTTTTAATTGTAATCGAATATAAAACGGTACTTATTAACCCCAGAAAAAAATTACCAGCTTATATATTGAAGGATAAAATAATACCGTAATACGAGACCTTTGTTGTACAATATTTTTGGAAGCACGGTATAGTCAACCAATCTGGAAGTTGAAGCGATGGGTTTTGTGAAAATATACGTATGCCTTATCACTGAACTCCGAGCCAAGATGAGGTCGAAAATAGGGCATTGTAACTCCAGGAACACTAATGGTAACATTGCACCGAGTTCATTTGTCACAACGTCAACGGGTGGAAAACAGGAAGTCAGTTTATGGCCAAAATACAAACGTGAACCCGGCTTGACTCAGAGTTGGTGAAATTTGAGTCCTGCGGCGCGTGACATTTTCTTTTCGAAATGAACCCCCTCATTTCGTCGTCAAACAACGAGACAACAATCTCATGTTTCCTACATTTCCTCCTTTCAAGTTTCGAATTCCACCCCTTCCAAGGTAAATACAAAATAAAATAAGAGCTCACAAGGAAAGATGTTCCACGAAAAAAATTATCTAACAAACTTTTTGGATGGAACACTTGAATTTGACCTGGGGGCAAATGGTACCTACTACAGTATACCAGTTTTCCCCAACCCATGGTCCAAAAACTGGTGCTGGCTGGTCTGCAGAAGTTTTTTTGCTGGGTCCACCGGACATTTTTTCAAGCATTATAATTATATCAAAATTATCAATGAAGGACATTACAATATCTTTACCTGACATTTTTGTGAGACAAATGGAGTTGAAATCATCTCATGAAAAATAAAATTTGACTTTTCTCCTAACATCACTTCAAATTTTCACCTGATGAAATAAATAATTTTAATTTTTTATTCTGAGAAATTTTTGTTCAAGCCCCACCTCTCTAATTTTTTGAAGACATTCCACCACTACACATGCTCAATTTTTTGTTTGCAAAAAGCAGAAACTTTTTCAATACCTGAAAGAAAGTATTTCAGGCAAAACAATTTCGAGTGTGCAAACATTTTATAAAACTTTGCCAGTCTGCAGAACATGTTTTGAAAATTTGCTGGTCTGCAAAAAAATTAATGGAAATTTTCCGGTCATCATTGTACCCAAAAAGGATGGTGAACACTGCACTACACCAACAAATGAAGAAAATGTTACTCTTTCAAACTAGCTGTTATTTTAAGCATTTGTTTCTTTAATTCTGAAACTAAAGGAATCTCCATTTCAACTCGCTTCTCCGTTGTCATGCCTGGGGGCTGTCGGATATGAGCGATCGTCGACACGCGACAGCGTTTTTCCTCGCCGGTGACGTCTTGGGTAAACCCTCGACAGGCCTGAGATGCGTCTGCGTAACAAATGACGCTTTGGCGCCGACGGGCATCGTTAACTTCTGCATCCGCTCTATTCTCAGTCTCGACGCAAAAAAAGTAAAGAAAAAAATAACACAAAAGCAGAATTCCGGAAGATCCTTTTTCTTTCTTCGAATTTGTTGTCGTTGTTGCGATAATAAAGCTGGAAACCCCCTTCTGTGGCTTGTTTCGAAAAAATCACCCTTTTTGTTGCCGCTCAAGTTTGCTAAACGCATTCCTTTTTCAATGTAAAACATTTTTATCCATACATTCTTGGAGTCGCTGTGGAGCCTCGGGGACAGAGAAAATTTGATTTAGCGAATGAAAACGGCAATTTTTCAAACGGTAGTTTAAATGTTGAAATGACAGGCACAGATTTGTTCACTTACCGTATATCCCAAAAATAATCTCTGAATGCTAATTTCTATACCGAAAAAAACTGTTTGGGTTATGGAATGGAGGAAAAAAGGCTTCCTGGATTATGTTTACACTCTCTGTCACAACCAGACGTTTTTGTACTGTTTCAAACAGTCCAGCATTTGATAATAAATAATTTCGTATCTACACTTCTGTAGACCAGGAGCACTTTTGAAACGTTTTTTAGGAAGTATGGCCTATCATAGAACGAAATAGCAATTTTCAGGGTGCGTTGGAGCTCAGAAGAACATTTTAGATGCATTTTGCATTGTTCACATGAGGTAATCGTTCTTTCAGATTCAATGAAATAAATTCTCTTTTACGACCGTGGCTTTAAACGAACGTGACTTTTCCGAAGACGGGCCATTTTCTCCGGATTTGGACGAAATTCAGAAATGAGAATTTCTTTAAAGAAAACTGATCAACCAGTTGTTCGACGCAATTTGGTAAAATCAGTACTTCGACCAGATGAGTGCAATTCACAAAAATTTAAAATAATCGGGGGGGGGGGGGTCAATGGGAAATAAACGCAGGTTGAACACTGATTCATCTTTCTCTTTCAAAAATTTAAAATTAACGTCGAACGCAAGATATTGCTGGAAAAATTCCTCAGATCAGTAAAATAAAATTAATAAAATATCGATCAAAAATTCACAACTCAACATTTTTTCCCTTGTTTAAAACACAGGAATAGTAATTCTCACTCACCAGACCGAAAGATTCATTTAGAGCTTCTCTTCTTCGTCATATATTTTCAATGTTTTTATTAATGGTATGTCATTCAAAAGTGTCTCCTTGTAAATCATACACATTTTGTGGTTCTGCATCGGGCGAAAAAGGAAAAGTCAAAGATATATAGCATTTAGCGGGTCTAAAAAATTCCAAGAAAGGAACCGAAAGAGCTTGAAATCTAGATCAACTTTTCCTGGTCTTCTGAAAATTACAGTCGAACCTCTTGAAGTTGACTTTAAAGGGACGAGCAAAAAAATCAAGTTTAAAGTTAGAGCAACAAGTATTTCTGTGGGGTAAAAGATAGGAGTATTACTGTACAGGAAATTCTATCTTGTGATATTCCAGGCCTTAAATTGCTTCTGAACTAACTTGACAGGATGCTGAACTTATGGAGGCAATAGGATTAATTTGCCCAATAAGTCTTCCAGTACCTTTCAAAACACGTGGTTGCTTTTTTTTATTGCTCTTCTCTTTCCTGTGTCCATAAAATAATAGCCAAAAATCCGCATAAAATTTGAGTTATGGAGGTTTGAGGGGGAAAGCCTTCGATTTAGAGGGTGGATTTTAATGCATTGTTTCTAACGAAATTTAGATAGGGACTCGAAAAAAATTTTCAACCTTAAGGATATACTGTACAGTATTCGAATGGTGAAGGTTCGAGTTATTTCCAGGTTCAACTGTAATTAATAATGTCACAGCGGAATTCCACGGCACTCATCAATAAAGAAAACAGATATGGCTACGACGATCGAGGTCTGGCACAACACATTTTTTTTTCGCTTCCATAATTTTAGCAGGGGACGCCGTCGACGGCGCCGACGTCGGCAGCCGAGTCGGCATTGCGGGGTGTTTTTGACATGCTGGACGGCGACGCGTCGGGCCGCCGGGCGTGACGCGCAGCCCGGTTGGCACCCAAGCACCGCGACCCGTTAAGCCAATTAGCTTTTCAATTAACTTCCTCGATGAACTCATGCCATAACAGGACGTCCGCGAGGTCTCGTGCTCATTCTCGGGGCGTTTGGGTTCCATCCCCAACCCCCCTTCATATACCACGAAAGCATCCCACACGTGCTGCTTCCGAAGCAGAAATTCCGCCCGCACTAATGGACTTCCGTTATTTTCAGCAGCCCGTGTCCCATTTTACCCCTCGATGTTTCTTCCGGCTTGGAATAAGAGGAAATTGAAGAGAAAAAAAAACCTCGGATGGCCAATCTAGAGAGTTGTTCGCAATTTTGAACGAATATAACGGGATTTCCGAAACTATCCAGATTTCCCTAGAAGAAAGAGTTGTTCGATCCTTATTCTGATATGTCTTGGATGGATTCCCGTGAGAGAGCCATTTTGAAATTAAATTCCTGTAAATACATTCCAACGTTGCACCGCTTAGAGGCTGGTAAGTGTCATTTTAGATGATAGGCATTTTATTATTTGGCCATAAAGCATTATTTTCATGGAACAATTATAGAAGCTATTTCTCTTCATCGGTTGGGACTGTCCGTCCATGAAATTTCCAAGAATGTTACTGATTCCTGGAAATATTGCTCAGGATTATTCAATGATTAAGGTAATTATTCCTTTTCATGGGAATATCTTGAGAGAAACCTTTTCTCGTGTGGAAAGTATCTCGATGCATGAAATTATCAATAATTTCACGCACATCTGAAAAATAGTGTTCGGGTTTCTTCAATCGCTACGTGTGAATTGCATTTGATTGTTTAAGAAATCTCTTCATAGGGATATAATACTTGTGCAAGGAATTTTCTGAATGCGGTTGGTGTTTTGAAAGTATTGCAAAAGGCAAGACTTGGTTTTTTTTTTGCGGGAGCAATTCAAGAGAAGTCTTCTGCCTGGTGCATGAAATCATCACGCTTATTTCATTGGTGCATGAAAACAGTGCAGGGTTTATTCAATAATTAGGTCTACCTTTTAGGGAAATAAAGTATAGGAGGAATATTATTTTAGGGGGGTAGTTTAGGGGCAAGAAATTGACACGAATTTTACTGGTGTATGGCTGAAAAAAAAAGGTTTAGGTCTTTTTCGATCCCTATTTCTCATTTTCTTACATTAAATAAACTGGTTTAAATCATTCCTCCTACATATATGAATTCGAAGTGCATAAAATCATCACGAATAGTGTTCGAGGGCTTCCGAATGCTTCTCTCAGGGATTCTTCAACAGGCGGGACTGCGGGAAAAACACATGTGAAAACGCGTGCTGATCTCGGTCCTGATAACGTCAGCAAGAAGCGCGTTTTCACGGCCTGTCAACAACTTGTCAGGCAAAAGATAGAATAAAAAAATAATAATCTCCTCTGTGGTACACCATTCTTTCCACGCAACTGAATTCACTTCTTCCCGAGCGTGCAGATTGTAGGAACTTGTTCTAGTTCCCCAGAAAGAACGCCAAGATTGTGCTGAACACAGCTACGACACATATTTATTTTTATTTTTATTTCGTTCGTCCATAAAGAAGATTTGAGAAAGAACCTAGGGTTCATGGAACAGTATTTTCTCTTGATTAGTACTTGGAAGGTATGTTTTAAATGGCGCCATATGATTACTCAGAGATACCAAGACATTTTCGCATGTTAAAAGAAGTTCAGAACAATTTATTTTGCATTTCCCAAAGAATAATTTATAACGCATGTAGTCCTAACTCACGCATCCAGCGAATGATTTTACTCAAACATAAACTTCAACTGCTGTATTTTGAGCAGAATTGTCGAATCAGGAAGGATATGCAGGTGACAACACATTTTGGACGTTTTGGGGTGCAATATGGAATATTCTCTGAAAATTTGATAATTTTCCTGATTCAAATCCCAAACGAGTGAGAATCGGAGAAATTCGAGGACACACGTAAATTAAGCCCGCGGGATGGCTAAGTTATAATATTTTTCTGTCTGGCTTTTTTTATTTTTGTTGAAAATGCTTATATATTACAGAGCAATATCTGAGAAAATTACTACGAAGCATTTAAAAAATCTGTATATATTATTGTATTTCATTTTCGCAAAATTCCTCGAGCGAAAACGCTGTGCGGAACCAACCATCAATTTTTTATTTCCACATGGATGAAAAAGCTCATCCACTGCAATAAAGTCCGAGTCATTTGGAAGGGATCTCACCGTCAATTTGAAATTTCTTCGAAATACTGTAGTCTAAGATTTGAATTATTCTAAGATTTTTAATAGCATAGAAATGATGCAAGGCGTGACTTATCGAAGCTCAAATACAAAGTAAAAAGGCTTGGAGTGAAACAAAACGAGTAAAAAATTAATAAAAATACTATAACGCGGGATGCTTTAACACATCAAACTCAAAAATAAAATTTTCTCCTAACCCACACATTTTATTTAGAGGCATAAAAGCAAATTATCTCTACTGAATCGCAAACCCCGACGCTATTTTGAAATCCTTATTCATCTTGAATCCAAATTGATGTTTAACAATCTCGATATTTTCTATATTTTACAGGAAAAAAGAACGACTTACTTGCACTCTGGCCTCGGACAAACACACCCGTCTGGCCAAGTCCTCCCTAACAAAGGCGTCTGGATAATGAGTTCGTTCGAAAATCTTCTCCAATGCGCTCAATTGAGCAGGTGTAAAAGTCGTCCGCATTCGCCGAGTTTTCTTCCCTGCGTCCAAAGGGGAAGAGCCGTCGACAATCGTCACCTGCTGTCGAGGGAAACCAAGTCCAGAGGCTGTCGATTACTGTGAAATATTCTCGAATATCTCAAGATTCGCTATATGCAATCACGAAACTGAATTAAAAAAAAACTGCTAGGAAAGCATTTACGCGTCCGCAAACATTGCGCCAATTTTAAATTTACTATGGTTCTTTAAAAAAAATGTCAGATAATTTTTTTTCGTCAGTCCAACAGAATTAATAATGGAAATCAACGTGTTGGACAAAGTTGTGGTCCTGAAATGACATCTGAAGGTTAAACAAAAAAAGAAGATTCGAAAGCCGATATTTATCTGAACAAATGATTTCACAGTTTTTTGGAACTCACACATGTCGGATATTTTGGAGATAGAAAATTTTGTTTTGAGGAATCTCAAAGGCTAAATAAAAATATCGTAGAATCAATGAAAATCCAGAACGATATCAACAGAATATATTTAGCGGGTTCTCGAGAGATATAAATATGCACTCGAGGAATCCGTTTTAATTGAATGCATTTTGAAATACGGTACAGTATTTGGGTTCTTGCCTCGGGCACGTAAGGAGGCCTGGCAATGATGCTGAACGCGGGCTGCTCCTGCAACTGTCGCAGATTGGACTGAATGGTAGTCGTCAGCAGGACATGCTGGTGCTGCTGCAGACTCGACACCTGTGACAGGTTCTCGGCTGCTTCGTCAGCTTGTTGCTTATTGCTGCCGACAGTCGTCGCCTCGGGTGTCCTGGTGTCGTCACGACTATTCTCCGTAGTCGGGCTCAGCGACGACGTTGAGTCGTCGGTGCCTGAATCAACAACATTTCAATCAATTTAAATTGCGCACTTTAATTAATTTTGAACGGGCTTCAGAATTAAGAGATCTAAAGGTTTTTGTAGAGATTTTGATCCCAAATACAGTAGAATCTCGTTAAAACGAATCTCGTTTTAACAAATATTCGATTACAGTATAATGAAGTCTGCCCGGTAGCCATAATGTTTTAAAAGTTTTATGGCGAATTTTTCTTTGAAACAAATCTACAGTGTTTTGATGATCGAAGCGGCTTCGTTGTAACGAGATTTTACTGTATATATAGTGCCTCCCCCAGGTTCGGATGGAATTACAGTAATTCTAAGATAGTGTCCTTATGGTATATGTTTGAATGTCCAGATGTTGGATCACATTTCACCGTAGATTTCAATGAGACAAATTTTAATCCCTTCTCGTGTTTGGCAAATAATAAAGCAAAATTGTTAAAAAAATAATTTAAAGCTTCAAAGCTCAGATCATAATTGTGCAAAAGGAATACCAAACAGAATCTGACCTTCTGGCAAAAAGAGGAGGTCAAAAGGCAAAAACATGAGCACACATTTTTACTAAACTGTGCACAGTTGAAGGGCAAACCCCTGAAAAAAGAACCACACAATTAGCCATGATGTTCTGAAAGATAGATGTATGTAAAAATAAGGATACAATTAATTCTGATTGCATGTAAATAGCAGTATATATCAAGTTGTTCAAGAGATATCAATATTGTTTGAAGAGTACTTTTTTGTTTTTCATGGAAGTTTTGGCCAAGCGTCCACATCTTGATACATTCCACAGATGTCTGGACACAATTTTTTCCTGCTTAGATTGTCCAAAAGTTTGTCTGCATCAAAGTACAATATTTCGAGGAATCTTCAAGGCGGAAAAAATTACAGTACAGCATCAAAATAATGGAATCATAAAAAGTTGTATTTATAAAATTAGGAAAAGAAAAATTATAGAAATTTAAAGGAAGGAAAGTTGTGACATTACGTAACAGTCCAGGTCGAAATACTTGTTACTTGGAGATGGGCTTATTTTTAGGGCAGGATTCATATTCACACAATGTGTTTCAAAGATTGCTAGGGCTTTCTCAAAGCCTAAGCCTCATTTTCTTTTCAAAAAGGAGGCTAAGTATGGTGAAGTCCATCAGTTTCCATTCATGCTCGATAACGGCTATAAACTAACTAAGTTAACCACAGGAAATTATCTCCGCACGACATCTTATGAGCAATATTTGAAATAGAATAACTTGTTTTCAAACTGCATTTCCGGGAAGTACACATGCATGAGAAAACTTTCACGTTTGAACAAAAATTATCTCGGATTTCCGCTCAAATTTATTGCGTCGATTATATAAAAAAAGACCGAATAAATAATCATAAATAAAATTCTTCGTCAGCAAAGACGGCTTTCCTGTTTCACAAACTGCACATATTTCAGCCCAATATGAAAATCGTCAAGTCCATTTTATGTAGTTGGACGTGGGTTTCGTTCAAATTCACATACTTCATAAGTTATTGATCAAGTTTAGCTTACTAGAAGCTACTGCACATGATTCGATAGAAAACAATGGAAGACGATTTTCGGAATGACTTTGGTACGGTTATCACTGATTCTAAGTTTCAAAAACGCGTTGTGGAATTTTGCTGACGCACGAAGATTCAGGGATTCATTCGGGCGTTCGGTATTATGTCATTGATTTGTAAATATAAGTTAAATTACCACAATAATAAGGATTAGTCAGGTTTGACTGTGTAACTGTATATGAGACATATATGCGTAAACCAATAATCTGAGAAGAAGTAGACAAATTGGCGAATGCAAAATTCATAAGCAGCTCTTTGAACCATCAGAGAATAGTCCTAAAAAATCGATGATGGTGGGGGCAGTTCATCAGTGAAACTTTTCCAAAAAAATTTAGAAGAATTCACGTTATATGACACAGCACTTGAAAGGGAAACAGCCGTAATAAAGAGAAAACGTTCTCCAAAGCATGAAACCCAGTGAAACGTTTTCATTCCTTTCTCAAAATATATCGTTCATTTAAAACAGAAATGAAAAAAATGCACTGGATTATAGGTTTTTAGTGTCGTGCCTTCCAACAATTTTGCCTTGTACCAGTGTAAATTACATTTTTGTTTCAATATTAGAAGGAGAGAACCTTGTCTTTATAAAGAATAATCAAATACTTATTCAAAAATGGATGATCGTAATTTTTAAGAATGATGATTTGAGTGTTGTAACCAAAGAGATTTCACGCTTGTTGACTCAGAATAAAGACGTGATTACCTAATAATCAAATAAGAAGCATTTTCTGAGATGTGCTACGCCGATAAAAATGCACTTTTCAAATTCGATTGAGAGCAAACGCTAAATCGAATTCTTCTTCTACTTGCCGCGATTAATTTTCATCAACTGCAACAAATGCATTACTGTACTGTATATCGAAATCATGTAACACAACGTGAATTCCTGACTTTTGAAATTTTTTCGACCAGTGTTGCCGTCATATTAATTCAGCACAGCTTAACCAAGAATTGAAGACCTGAAATATTTAGGCCAAACAAAGCAGGCGAACAATTTATGGTTAATTTTCTGTAAAAATTTGTTTTGGTGGTTCGAAATCAAACTTCATCTTTCAGATTATTACACAATAAATACAGTGGTCCGTTTCGTTTTTTGGAAAATTGTTCAAATGTTCTATTTTAGATTTGAACCATTTTTTCTCTCAGATGTACCCTCCCGTCACTTTCGGAGGGAGACCGCAAAAACTTGTGCAGTTTTGACGTCCCTCGTCCGGGGAAACGCGTCGGTTGGAAGGAGTCAAATTGGCACAGAAGTTAGCACTGGAGAGGAGGGGGATTGGCACAGGTTAATTGGCCGACAGAGTAGACGAGTCTCACAGTTGTCATAATAATCACCGACATCGTTTGACGCACTTTTGAACGCCGGCTGTCCGCGACAATAATTAATGAGCCCTCCACTTCCGACTCCGTTTCCAGAAATAACGTATTCGTTTGGCTCCTCATCAAGATGAAATTTCAAGCATTCTCTTCGTGTGATGTGAAAATGCTGACTGGAAATTTAATTTCCGACAAATGAAAATTTCCCAATTAATCACGTCGCAAGAAACACTTTTTTTAATATTTTGGAATGCGCAGTTTCTTAAAATATTTGACAGACGGGGAAGCTCGTAAACTTTTAGAAAATCATCGACACTTCGCAACTATTCGAATTCTCAGACTCAGAAAATGATAATAAATGACAAATACTGTACTGCGAGTAACTTCGTCGCGTTCTCTTGCCGAATAGTACTTGAATCTTTCATGCGAAAATAAGGAAGAAAACCAAGAGAATACACTTTTTCGCACAGAATCCCGGCGCATTTTATTTGAAAATTTCGACGTGTTCCTTTTCCAATTTCTTTAGAAGAAGATGTATCATGCAGAAAAAAAATTCTCGTTTGGTTATACAGTAACTTGAAATCTGTCTTAGTTTGCGGGAATCTCATCTAAAAAATTGAATTCCAGTTTTCAAATCTCGCAGACGTAATTTGTTTAATGAAAACGTTAACTAAAATATGGAAGATGAAAATCTCATTCGTACTTGATTAATCATGAGAACTCTAGATAGTCTAGAAATTTTACAGATTTGTACGTGGCGCAGTTTAAAATAAAATTGCTTTCTACTATTTTAGAGGTCGATTTTTTTACGCTATGTTGCGAAGCATAAAATACGAGACTTATCACCCCCAAAAGTCAAGTTTTAAAATCCAAATTTTAAAGTATACTGCAGGTTGAATGTTGGTCCAAAATTTCTGGCCCCTTCGTCCTGCGTCAAGCTTTAAATCGATAAAATTTTCATAAAAACTGTTCACTTAACCTTTAAACCAGGCTCAGAAGTGAACTTCGATACGCTGAAAACGAGGATAAGTGACTTTCCTTTGTCGGTTTTGGAGGCGTTAAAAGAGCCCTCAACGATTTAATCCTTCTGCCCCTGCACGGTTATACCGAGATGCCACTCAAGCCAGTCACGTTCCTTCGCCCTTCAGCAGATGAAGCCCACCCCGAGAACACTTTCGACATTCAGCAAAAAAAAAAAAAAAAATGAAGAAAGAACACGAAGAAGAAACTGTGCAAATCTCCGCAGTACCCCTTACAAGTGACCCCAAGCGACACTGTCGACCAAAAACCGACGCCATGGAACAACTCGGAGAATCTCAAGTCGCTCATCAAATCCTCCAGGCATGGGTTCAATCAGCGGAGGAAAAATGGTCCTCTGCCAAACAAAAATCTACCAACCGAAACCCTTCTCTCTCGCTCTTGTTTTTTTTTTTTGTGTGTGTGAAAAAAAACGGAACAACTGCCAACTGGTTACTTTTCTCCCTTTTCTTTTGAAAGTGAAGTACAAACCTTTTGAGTGAGGCGAAACTTTGTGCAGCACGCGGAAAGCCGAATGATCGACGTCGTGGGAGTTTCTTCGACCATGCGCGACACAAAGACTTGACGTGCCCAACGGCATTTGAGTGCAAAAAAAGATCACGTTTGACAAAAGACAACCTTCTGGAAAAAAAAGTGTCTCGGGGGAGAAAAAAAGAGAACTGCAGCCTGTTTTCCGCGGAGAAATTCTCCAAGCGTTAAAGTCGCCGAATTTTGTCGACTGTGCGAACTTTGTCCGAACAGTTGAACCCGTGATTTCACGAAAAAAAAATTGAGGAAGTGAATCTGGGGAACAAGCTGATTCCTTACAACACACAGAAACAAACGCTTGTCAATCGCTTCACTGACTAGAACGATCTCTTGCAATTTGAGCCGAGCTCAGCATCAAGGAAGAACTGATCTGAACGAAGCATATAGAAAAAAGGTGGGAACTTTTTTTGGAACATCTCCTCCCACGGTTAAATTCATCTCTTCTACCAAAAAATCAGATACACTGATCCCAGCTCGTAGGAAAAAATATATCACGTTTTTGCATCCCGGCAAAAATTGATCTGGAAATCAGATTGGAAAAAAAGATTTCGAAAAACCCAGATGAAACGCATAAATTGTTAGCCCCAGAAAATGAAACTTTCATATCCTTTCGTGTCGGTTTTCTACTAGAGAAATTGCCGAATTTAATTTTTCCGAAAATTTCGAAGAGGAAATTGAGTATCACTTTTATTTTTGCGCATGTGATGCGCGAAAAGATTCGATTCCATAGGAGTTCAAATGATTTTTCAAACTGATTGGGAAAATTTCAAGAATCGACGATATTTAAAAATAACATTTTCATTCGAAGGAATTGGAAGTTTGTTAATAGTGAATTTAAAATTTTTCAGGATATAAATTATACTGCCTACAATAAAACTTAGATTGCCCTCGTCGACGGTCAGATGCCTTTTTTCAAGTTATAAAATTGCACCGACAATTGAAGCATGAAAATGTTCATTCAAGAATGACTGAACAGAATACAGTAGTAGTAAAGTCGCCTCTTGAAAATGAAAAGCAATAATTTTTGTACGATTTTGTACAGAGTAACCATGTCCATACGACAATGTTTTATTCAATAAATATCGTCACCATATGAGCAGCTCATTATAGCAACAATATTCTCAGTACCTATCACAGTATTGTACATAAAAAATTTTTGTTCACTGATTCTTTGTCCAAACCGTATGCAAAAAAATATAAGATATATTAAGAAATGAAAATGCAAGTTCAGGTAAATGATCTTGTTGCAATAATTCCTTCCAGAATCTTTCCATTTGTTTATTTCAAGAATTTTCTTCCAGAATCTTGGGCATGATAAATGAAAATACATATTTATTCAGAGAAGGGATAATATAAGTTCTTCAGAGGTTCATTTTCAAGTGTTTTCACGAACGTTAGAAGATAAGAAGTACCAAGATTACTGATCATCTGAAACTAATTGATAGTCAGGACTTCCATTTTTTTTTACCTTTCTAAACTTCACGGCATTGTTCGTGTCATATGGAAAATCCTCAAGAGATAAAATATAAAGTATTATATTTTAGTAAAAGCAGCATTTCTCGTCAGTGCGGTTTTGCTGTCGTACGAAGATCTAGAAAAGAAGTCCACCTCTTCAGTTTTTTTTTGACGTTTTGGCATTAGTACAGAATTTGATGCATAAAAATACAATACATACCTTCAGAATTCGTTCGAGGCTCATCGAAGTCGACTGTGCGGTAATTTCGAACCCCGAGTTGCTGGAACGGAAATGGAGCCCCTTCCAAGTCCAGCAAGGAGCTGACCCTGAACCTCCTGTCATTCTCCGACTGTTGCTGTTGCTGGTGCTGATGCTGAACCCCCAGCACCTGGTTCGAGTGCTGCTGATTCTGTTGATTTTGCTGTGTTTGCTGCTGCTGCTGCTGATGATGATGATCACCTCCCACCACCATGGAACCCGGTTCGAACCGCAACTGCTCCTCGGGTTTATTGTTGCCCGCGTCGCGCGCGTCGGCGTCTTGAAGGAAATCCATCACAAAAATCGCCCCCGGATATATTATGGCAAATTAGAAAAAAAAGACCCCTTTGTTTTATCTCAGTGCAGCTTCCTGGTTTGCTGAAAGTTCACACAGATGCTTCGCAGAGGTTTGATCAGGGGGACGAGGAAGCGAGACGGGTTGTGCGTATATTCGGGTCTCCTTGGCCAAACCGCAAGCGCGAGCGCCGCGCAAATCGGCACACGGCAGCAGCCGCGGAGAATCCGCCAAATATTGACACTCGCGTCGTCGTCGTGACACAAGAAAAGACAAATTCCTGTGCCGCAGAAATCACACGGGAATTTTCGGCCTGGATCGCGGGGAAAAGAAGTGATCTGAAATCAGGAAATAAAAAGAAGAAGGGGGAAAAAAAACCACAAGCCGGTTCCGGCAACAATAAAATAACATTTAAACAATCGGAGAAAATTGCGGCTTTATTCGCGAAGGAAAAACGCAACTTTTTTTGAAACCCCTCCTTTCCGTTTATTTTATCTGCTCAAGAGATGCTCCTCAGGATTGAGCCAATCCAGTAATTGTTTTTCTCGTTGAATTAGTTTTTGAATATAATGTATCAAATGCACTGCGAAACATGAAATACAATTTAAATAAGATTAAAAATTTCGGATTTGGGGAACACCAATTCTTTTAAACGTCTTCTGTTTTAAATACAAATTCAGGCAAATGTGGTGCATCAGAAATTAGTCAACGCACTAACTATTGTTTCGGTAATTTTTTAACTTATACTCCGGAGTCCGGACACACTCACGATTTCTAAAACCTAAAACTCTAATTGAGCGTTTCCTTTTCCATGCAATCAAAGTTGAAATTTACTGATGATTTCAACTCCAACAGCAGATATTGAAAAAATTATCCGCGTGAAAATGAGTCCTGCTACTGATGTGTTCAAAGGTGAACACAAGGTGAAGGTGAAAAAAAGCGAACCGTAATTTTTATTTAAGTGAACCCCATAATGCATTAGCTATTACTCTGAATTTATCAAGGCTCTGTAAAGCGACCCATAATTGTGAGAAAGATTGAGAAAAAACTACTGCGCTAGTGAAAAATCCTTTTCTGAACCAAAAATCACAAGCAAAATTATCGGATGAAAAACAAGAGACAAAAAAAAGAGAAACCAAAATTACGGGCCAAAATTTGACGAATACTTTTCACCTACGGAACTCCGAAATTGATTTCTGAAGACTTTTGAGATAGGCACATTTACATAGGTCATAGATTAAAAAAACACGTTAGAGAAACTAACAGTTAGCGTGCTCTTATTAATGTCTGCACAGGTTTGAATTGTTTTCATGACATCAAGTAAATAAGACAACTGTAGTATGATAAAAATCATATTTCGAAGAACATTAAAATGCGGATGCCTCAGTCGGGAATTTATTCTAACTTGAGATTTCCTGAAGATTGATGATTGCTTCGTTACCATTTATGGAAGAATATAACAGTTCATAAGTTGTCTTGAGAAAGTGTGAATATTTTTTTGCTCTGAATTATTTAAGACCAGCAGAATCAATGATGGCTATAACTGCTGGAATCGCGTCAATTTCGAGAATTTCATGAACATTAATATGCTGAACGTATCTTGAACTATACAGTATAATGAAGGGTTTTTGCTTAACCCTTGTTATTGCAACTGTAACAAAATCAGTTCATCTTTCCGTTGCAGACTTAATAAACTTTCACTGCTACGCCCTAACTGCAGCTTGCCAGTTTCATTACAGGAGTGATTAAGGATCGATTTTGTTTGTTAAAAGACTTAATCTTCTAGAGACTTCTTATCAGCGTTAAAAAGAGCTCAGGGGAAATGAATACGAGGGTTGTTTCATAAGTTTTGAGACTTTTTGACATAGATCCAACGGAGTTTCCAAAATTCCGTTGAAAAATTTTGGTAACACTTATACGCGCTGTTCAACTTACTCTCCGCCAATTTTACTGATTTTTTCCCTGCAATAAGTCCAACGATCAAAATAGTGCCAAAAATCGAGTTCTAGCTGTTAATTTTTTAAGTGCCCTGTGATTTTGGCTCTTCCCGACAGTGAAGAACGATCAGGAAGGGTTTGATCTTGAGTACGGGGACAGCCTCATTTTTGCCGTCGATGACGATTTTTTGGCACGGTTTTGATCGTTGGACTTTTTGCATGGAAAAATCATTAAAATTGGCGGAGAGTAAGTACATAATTTTTGTATGCCTCGATGACTTCGTTATACGCTAATGCGAGCCTAATTTTCTGAGGGTCGCTGATCGCGCTGAAATTTCATGATTCGTTAAGGTAAGGGTCTCCCCCTAGGACGAATGTTCATCACTATATGAAATTCAGTGAAATATGTTCTATCCTATCTTCATCATGGAAAAACCACAAGAAAATAATTCTCGATCGGCAAAATGGGGGGAAAAAAGAGGGAAAGGCCGAGCCACGAATCATCACGGCTTCTCGCGCTGCTGGGCTCAGCATCCACCGACGAAGCCGCGAAATAACATTTATACTCTACCAAACCGTCGATATTTCAGGAAAGAGAGGAAACAAAACTTTTTGATATCTGCATCCCGACCTGCGTCCCTTTTCCTCAAAAAAAAAAGGAGAAAGAGAGTCGCGACTTTAGGTCGGAAAAAGCGCGTTTGAAAAGGAAGCCATTAACGTTCAACAACCAAAAAGAAAGTGCCGAAAGGGTGCCCGAGCGCGCGCCCCGCCTTTGAGTGACAGCACGGTCGACGATGACGACAAGGTGATGGGACCCGCGGCGCAAAATAAACCGAGCCACGGTTTTGCTATCTGCACTTTTCTCTTTTTTTTCCATGTATATAACCTTTTTCTTATTCCTCGCCCGATTGGCAAATTGGCGGATCAGACAGATTTGAAACCCCGCAGCGGCATTGCTGAAAGCTCGAGCGAGGATAAGGAAAAGTAAGAGTGGGTTGAAGCAAAAATAACAAAAAAGAGGAGAGAATCCAGCAAGAAGCGAAAAAGGGGCTTGAGTCTACCCTACCGATGC